TCCCCACCACAGTCTCGACCTTGGCGTCTTCAGCCAAGTGCCCGTCCCGTAAAAATTTTTTTAAAGAAGTGAAATGATGTTATTCTGATAGAACAGACTCAGGGCTACAAGGGGGGTGGGGTAACACTTTCCAAGAAAGTTTATTTGGGGTATGGCAGGTCGTCAAAAATGAGCGGTGCAAAGGAGCGTTATTTTAATGGAAAACCAGAGGTCTAATAATCAGTCCCTGGCGACGTTGAAGGTAACAAACGAAATCTCCCTGGATGAGTTAGTTAATATGTATGTTGGAGTTTGTAGTGGTACCAATTTGAAGTACCTCCGTCATCAACGGACCGAGCACCATCCAAAAGAATACACAACATACGTTTTTTGGGTAGTTGGCTGGGCGGGGGACCAAAAGAGGGTCTTAATATTTTTTCCTCCAAACAATTTTTGTATATTATTATCGTAATTGGCATATGTTTAAACTTAGGTAACAATCCGGTTCCATGAACAACCCTTTCGATAGTTATCCAGGCTTGAAAGGCTAAAAAAAAGTCCCTGTTGTTTTTGTCTCCCAGTCGGTTGGTGCATTACTCTTTTTGTCCTCCTCGGCTCACGATCCGTTTTTTTCGACACTTGCTATATTGTACTTATAGAGCAACGTCCCCGCTACAATACTATCAAAAAAATATCCGGATATCTTTCTAACCGACAAGGAAGGACGTGTTTGTTTACAGTCGGTGGCCTTCCCGGACCAAGTTTGCGTTTGGTCCTATTGTCCCCAGATCGAATTTTTTTGAAAAATTTTTGAACTACAATAGGTTAGACAAGATCCCTGCCTATCATTTCATTGATTTTTCTTGATGTCAATATTGCATTATTACTTAGTTTTAATGGGATGTGTAACTGCCCCTAAATATTCCCCTTACCCACGCTCACTTCTGAAGGCATAAAATTTTTTTGATCTTTGATATTTTTAAAATTTTGGTATCATTAGAAAGCTAAGACTCTGGGCTACAAAATAAGATAAAAATAAAATCGGATAAAAATAGTTATCACCTAAAAAACTTGCGATAACAAAAAACGAACTTTTTTATGAACCGACCTAGTATTAGGGTTAGGCTTCTATTAGAATATTCTTGTGACATGCAAAATCTCCCATTTTCTAGAGCCAATATAGGGGAATCATTAAGTAAAAGTTAACGGGGATAACTCCTCCGGGTTTAGTTTCACTAAACTTTCCAGCCTAAAAAAGAGTTGGATTTGAGTGGGGTCTTTCAAAACCTTAATTAAGGGATCCTTTCCCTTTTTTTGGATTAATTTTAAACTTTTTAAAGAAGTGTTCGTATGCGTCCTGAGATTTTGATCCAAGCGGTAACAGAATCAAAATTGGCTCGAAAGCGTGCTGTAACTGCTGCCAAACTTGAGGCGAAGAGAGCTGTTGATTCGGAAAAATTCATGGTCCGTAGGGCTATTACTCCGCCAGATTTTGGGTCATTAAAGGATAATTCGATGTTGAAACTTGCTGATTTTGTGCCGGTTTGTTTTTTTTAATTTTTTTTAAATTTTTTTTTAATTTTTGGGTTCTCCACAGTTTGTAACTTTCTTTGATTTTTAAAAAATCCTCTCCATTCAACTGTAGGAAATTAGGCTAGCAAGAGGTTCACTAACTGAATGAGCTTTATAATTTTTAAATTTGTATCGTTAGAAGCATTTGAAAACATTTTATGGATTAGAGAATTAGAGCTCCCTTATTATGTACAGAATGGTCAGACTTGCTCAATTTCACTATATTTCCCTGTGGCATATTCATTAACATTAATAAAGAATAAATTAATTTGAGGAAGGAATTCCGACTAGTCTGTACAAAATAAATAAAAAAACATGGGGAGGAAGAAAGGGGAATCATAAACCTTTGGGGTTTACCCCATTTTATCAATTTTCGAGTCTTTGAATATTCAGAACTAGTTGTGCTCACGGATGCGGATAACCAAGGTTTAGGGTATAAGGAAAAGAACATGAGGAAATATACCGGATAGCAGCTGCGGGCGGATATGATTATGAAGGGCATATCCGCAACTAGGCACGTGTCTGTGGGGAAGAGTTCTCAAAATTCCAAAATTTCCAACAGCTTAAATAATCACCTAACAATTATTTATTCTATTTTCTGTAGGGAGTACCGCCTAGCTATGAAAAAGAATTTAGCTATAGAGAGTTGACTATGCCTGTCCCGTTGCCATCTGATGGGCTTTATTCGAAAGAGCAAATTTTGATTATTGGAGCACAGGTTTTTTTAGAAAAAATTTTTTTAGAAAATTTTAAAATTTTTTTAAAGGTTGTTATTAATGCGCAGAAAGCTGGGGCTTAATTTGGAAGTGACTGACCTTCAACACAAAAAGGAAATTATTTATTTTAGATAATTAAAAGGTGAATTGCTAAAAAAATGTGTAGTCGAATCTCACTATAAGATATACCCTTTGGGCTGAAAAATTGTCTCTTATAATGAGCGTATGTTGAATAGAGGGGATCGCTAGTGTAGCCCCTCACAAAGTTTTTAAATAAATTTTAAAGTCTTAAGTAGAGTTTTTCGGTTGTTAGCCGGTATTATATAAGGAGGTGTATCATAAATAGAGGGTATCTCTTCATTAGACGTCCCCTCCCGCCCGATGCTAACCAAATTTTTTAAAAGTATCTTGCATTGAGTTTAATCCCAATATTGGGGGAATCTTATAAGTGAGGTTAGACTACTATATACATAGTATTATTTATTTTATGTTTTTCTCTCAATTTCTCTCCTTTACTATTTAAATTTTACTCCTCCAAAAAATGGATATTTTTTTACTAAATATTTAAATTAAATTTTTCTTCCTTTTTTTGTCCATTTATTTTTAAAATAAAAATTAATTTATTGTAATTTGCCGACATGGCTAGTCTCGGTCCGAACATCACATTTATTGTTAGACCCTACGAAAGAGATTCGGTTGTCCCGCCTTAAAAAGAGCAACACCTTTAAGTTTGATGGATTTTACTAGATTGGAAGCAGAGGTGGGTCGGAACAGTCAGAGGTGTCGGAAATAGGAACTGGCTCAATAGTCGGAAATCGGAATTCCGACCCGCCTCTGATTGGAAGGGGTTGTGGTGGTGTAAATAAACTCTAAAATTGTCCCAGCCGCCGATTAACCTTTTGCACTAGCTAAAGGAGGGAATTAGCTATACCCGGCTCTGCTTTACTTTAGAATCAATTCATTTTTTGTAACCTAAAAATCCTTTTAAAACAATTTTTATAACAAAGAAAATGGTAGCGGCGTTTAATCAATAAATTAATATAAAACAATTTTTGTTGCTGCGCGAATTGAGCATTTTTGCTTTTTCTTTTATTTTTTTTTATTTAAACTAAATTTTTATTTTTAATATTTTTGGGACAACAAGACAATACAAAAATTTAAAAAAATTGTCTAAAATTAAATTTCAAATTCTCGATTTTGTTTTTAGAATTTCTATAAAAAAATTTAAATGGCCTTCCAAAATTCTCAAAATTTTCGTCTACGGCCTTAAAAAGCCATATAGGAGAGAAATATAAGAGATGTAAACGAGAATAATTTTTTAAATTGTATTTTTGTAGCATATTTGTATTTTGGGAATTTTCTCCTTGTGTACTTCCAAATTAAACTTTTTGTACGTACACTTAACATTTTCTCCCTATCGGAACTCTGTTTTTACATTTTACGCTAGGCCCGTTTTTATTTTATTAGTGTTTCACCGGAACCAAAATTTTGACCGGAACCGAATCCAATTTTAATTTCGGATCTCGAAACCAAAACTTCAGGTGAAACTATTTATGGCATTTTTACTTAAACTTGTTCTACCGTAAATGTTGTAATGGAAGCCCTTCTCTAATAGAACCCCAAAAACCTCATTTTTAACAACGATATTATAAAATAGCCTCCTCTTACGCTGTATAATATATAATTTTTCATTGAACATTAAAAAAAATTTATTTTAGATAATATTTTAAATGGTAGCTACTTTAATTGTTATATTTTATATCCTTTTTTTAATGAGTTATAGTGGATCTATGTTTGTACAAATTGGTTATTGGCTATTAGAAACATATTTTATTGATGGAATAAATAATATAATGTTTGTAGATTCCCAATTAAATTTAATTAGAAGAAGACAAATAGAAGGGGAAGAATAAAAAATAAATTAATTTTTAAAGGAAATTTAATTTATAAATTGTTTAAATAATTAAATAAACACCCATGTTTATAAAATAAATATTTTTTAAAAATTATTTTAAGCCAAGATCGGAAAAATTTTCAAAAATATTAATTTTTGAACTATGGAGAAGGAAGGATTTTCAAAATTGTATAAGTTGTGTGTTGTAGTTGACAATTGCCTCTGATCAGGGCTGGGCGTCTGGCGTTTTGCGTCCATTTTTGGCCGGTTTTTGGCGTTTGGCGTGTTTTAAAAATTTGAAAAAATGGCGTTTGGCGTTCCTCGAAAAAATTTTGGCGCACAGCCCTGTCTCTGATCTCCTTTCGTCTGTTCCAGTTCAACTTCACTTACATGGTACAGGGTGTTTCTTTGCTTTAGATAAACGTTATTCCAGAGCTTGTTGATTTTGGCAAATTTAAAATACTAGAGATCTCAACCTTAGGTATAATCATGAAAATTTTGAGGCCTCTGGAAGGAGGATGTCTACTAACAAAGTGATACCCTTTTTTTAAGATACACCTCATTATAAGGAAAGATTTTTATCTACAGGGGTTAATCTTATGAGGTTTTTAAATACCCACGAGTTTAATTTAATTATAAATTCTGTATTCTGACAATGAGTACAAGTGAGAATCGCGCGGACAATTACATTGTGATTTTTTGAAGATCCCCCAGATCAATTCTCAACTTTAAATAAACGATTAAATAAACATAAGAATAAATTGATTGTAAAAAGTAGGAGAGAAAGATGTGTCAGTTGTCGTTTTTAAGCAAATTCTATAAAATAATTAAAGAAGAAAGCTAGAGAAATTGTGTGGAATTAAGCCAAAAATATTTAAAGCAAGGTCCATTGTTTCGAGAATAATTATAAATATTTTTATTTCCAAATAAATGCTACAGAATAATAGACGAATTAAGAAGGCTGAGGTTTTCTTTTTATAAATTTCAAAATTCTCTTGAGGAAGGAAAATCTTTATTTAGGGGGAAAATCTTTGTAGGCTTCAAGGCTTTGGAGGCAAAAAGCTTCAAACTTTTTAAATATAAAGGACCCCCACCTCTATTTAAGATTATTTATTTTTTTTAAATTTTGTTTTGGGGTTGGGAGCTACCCTAAACCTTTTAGTAACTACCTTAGGAAATTATGTATTGCTTCGACCTTCCGCTAGAGGGAGGGCAATAATACTCATCATCATTAATCGAGGAGGGTAATTATACGAGGTTTGGAATTTGAACGTGTTTTAGGGCATTTTATGGGGAATTGTTTGAGACAATTAATACAGGTTTTACCGTATCTAAGAATTAAATCTTGTAAAATTACCCCAAGTAAAGTCATTTTTATAATAATTTATTTAAATTAGAATCAACAACACTTATTTGATGACAACAGCCATTTGAGTTTAAATCGTCGATGGAGTGAACAATTGGCTAATTGTGAAAATACTAATAATTTTGTTCAACCAGAAAATGTTAATTTTAAATTTTTATAAACAGAACATAAGTATTTTGAAAGGGATACTTGTAGGAAAAGTAAATATTTAGAGAGCTGCTGTTTAAATTTGTGGGAACTAATAAATGTGAATAGAGGAAGATCTCTAAACTAAGTTCCAAATAGGTCCTCCTCTTTTAGGAAAATATACATACGAGTTTTTGTCGGACGGTATTTTGCCCCCACTAAATAAAGCAAATAAAACAGTGAATTATTTGAAGACAAGTAAAACGAGCTTTTAAATGATATGTAATTCGATTTAATTCTAAATAAAATATGTAAATACTTAATTTGATTATCGAAAAAACCAGTTCGCTTATAAAATAGGGGTACTGATGAAACAGGCAATAGAAGAGAATCGAAAAATGGGCCTAGGGCTTATTTTGACAAAAAACAGATATTTGTATTAGAGATCGAGATTTCTGAAAAGCCTCGGCTTGTTCAGAACCCTGGGGTTTGATTTATTGACCTGGGCCTGTCCTGGGCCTGTAGTCCAGGAAAAACCCCCAGGAAGGTCAAAAAATGCCCGGGCCTGGACTCTGGGTACAGGAAAATCCAGGTCTTTCTTAGTCCAGACCCAGCCTTGGTCCTGGCTCTAATTTGTATAATATTCGGCTAGGGTAATCATTTGTCAGTATAATACTCGGTTAGGATAATATAAAGTTTGATCTCAGTTGTACGTCATCCTCCGAGAAAGAAAAATCTGTCATTAAAGTGTGAGTAACGTACATAAATGGGAAGACGTACAACTGAATTTCGATTATAATTTAAAGACTGAAGAAGAAAAAGAAGTAGCCAAACCAATAGCTATAGTTGGAGGTATTGGAAGAAGTGAAATAAACAAAGAAGAGATGTCGACAACAACAAATAATTCATTGAACGAACAATTATTTGTTTCATCATTTGTTAGAGCTATAACTATACCGAACAGTCAAAATACAGAATGGACAGATTTGAGAGAATTTCGAGTAAAAGAAATGAATGAAGTAGGTTAATGATAAAGTAAAATTTTTTGGAAATATTTTGAGGGAAAAATTGTTTTTAGGAAATAAAAAAGGTGCTTGTGGGTATCCAAAACTAGTTTTTGCGGAAATATTTTTACAATTAGTGTAAATGCTCTAATTAAAGCCCGGCTCTATTAGAAGCCCAAATCTAATATAAGCCTACCCAAATTGACCCATGTAAAATAGACGTCCAGAACACATGGAAGAGAATGTAAATTCAGACAGAAAACGTCTGTTTGGACCGAAATAATAGGACGTAGGAGGGGAAGTGACGTGTGAGTGGGCGACGTTGTATAGTGCAGAGGTGGGTCGAAAAGGATGAAGGTGTCGGAAATCGGAACTGTCGGAAATCGGAAATGGCTCAAAAGTCGGAACTCGGAAATTGGCAGGAAAAAACGTCGGAAATCGGAATTCCGACCCACCTCTAGCATAGTGAACTCAAGAATATAATCAGATCTCACTGTAAAATATCCTCCTCCTTGAAGTCTAAAAAACCGAAATCCAACTAAATATAAATTTTATAGAACCGCCAAAGAGCCGCACATATGGAGAATACAATGCGTTGGTGGTTACTATCGGCAGAACAATGGCGCCAAAAATGGCTAAATGTTCGAAACGAACGTAATAGATTAAAGGAAGAGAATGTTCGTTTAAAGAAAGAATTGATGGAAATTAAAAATAAAATTAAAGAAAATTAAAAATATTTATTTGAATAAATTAAGATTTTGTAAAATTGGAGGAGAAAATTTAAGGGAGAGAAATTTTTTGGGGCAGATACACAAGCGGGCGGAAATTATGACAATTTTGGAAAACCATAGTAGATGGTTTTTGAGTTTTTGGTTCTCGATTATGGAAGTATATTAGAAGTTAGTTTCTTTTGTATTTTCAACTGACACCACTAGATTACCGAAATTTTTTTCGAACAGCTCCTAATGTCGAAACTTAATGGGTGCTTATAATTAGCTAAAAGTTGATTTAGTGAAATTTCATTTATTTCCCCTACAAGGTCATATTTAATTTTAGAATTTTTTTCCCTTTGAATATGAATTAAAAAGTCGAAAAATTGGCTCTTGTCAGGATTATATGTTGAATCACCTATAAATTTATTTTTTACATATGTATTTAACAATATAAAAAAATTATTTATCTAAACATTTTTGTAAAATGTATATAATTGTTTTGTGTATATATTATTTTTAAGTTTTCTTGTGGTGTTAGGCGGTGGTTTACAATAAAATTTTTGTTAAGTGTTTTTTAAATGAATTTAAGGAGAGAAAATAAACAAAAAAAATAATAAGTAGAATATAATTGAATAAATCGGGGATATTTTGTAAAGAATCAGACAAAATAAAAATATCTTTAAATCGCACCGAGTTGATAAAATTCACTTTTTTAGATAATTATTTGGAGAGGAAGGAGGATATTTTTTAAATATTTTATTTTTTGAGTTTAAATATTCAGTCTCTCAAATATATAGTGAATGGAACAGTTTAATCTACCTGCAGAGCCATAACTCAACGTAAAAATGTCATATCAAGTTAACTTAGGTATCATCAAACGTAACTCGATGTGATACGTCGAATCATTCCAAAAATAGATAAGAAGGTATCTAGTGGATGAACTAGGCTTCCATTGTGTTCGGGGGATGCATTGTTTTAGATACATACAATTTTCAAGATAAAATATAACCCAAAGGACTGCTTTAGAAATAAAAAAAATCCAAAAGGATGGCCTACATGACAAAAATATTTAAACTCAAAAATTTAAATATTTAAAAATAATTTTGCAATTATAATTTGACTGGAACAATATGTTTTAACTAATAAAATGCTCTAAAATGAGGGAAGAAAAGAATTTTTACAAATTCGATACATTTGGAGATTATTGTAAATAAAGGTAAAATATGTAAGTAAAATGCAAAATTGACATTGTAATTAATTTAAAAAATTATTTTTGATTTTAAAAATCCAAAAAAAATATATTTAATTTAAAAAATAGCAAATAATTAACTAGATAAAATTATTGCGGAAATAAAAGGTGTGTATTTTTGATGTAGATAAAATAAGTAGCATACAATCGGACCTCATTTGTACATTATATACACGCGATACAAAATAATTTAAATAAAATTAGGTTAGCACGCGGAAAGGAAGATGTCAAGCTAAGCAATAATAATTACGATAAAAAAAATTTCTGCCCAACTGTCAAAAAGGTCATTAATATAAAAAACCAGTTACCGAAAAATTCTTGACTGTAATAATCATCTATTCGAATACATATATAGTAGAGGTCGGCGCGGGACGGGATCCCGACGGGATTTTCCGGGATCCCGAAATCCCGGATTTTTTTGATTTTCGGGATCATCCGGGATTTTTTCGGGATTTATCCCTCGGGATCCCGTCCCGGCATCGGTTAAAAAATAAAATCCCGACTCAAGATCCCGGACTTTATTTTATAATTTTCGGGATTTTTAAATTAGCATAATCCCATGCATGCTTACTCTAGTGATTCTCATAATTTGCGCCTGCGGCGCAAAAAAATGAAGAAATCTGGCTTAAGGAACTCCAAAATTCTAAAAATTTTTGCCTGCGGCGCTGAAAAAGTGAATTATTTTAGCCTACGATCTTCGAAATTTTAAAAATTTTCGCCTGCGGCGCTGAAAATGGAAGAAATCTGGCTTCATATGCTCCAAAATTCTCAAAATGTTCGCCTGCGGCGCTGCAAACAGAGAAATTTGAAGGTATTATCGGAGGAAAGTGGATGGATTAGTATATAGCGGGATCTTATCAAGGGACCTAGTGATTAATTTACCGATATCCCTCTAAATCTATTAGATTTTTACAAATTTTATATTATTTACATATAAATTGCAGTATTTTGATGCACTTTATTTATAAAAATTTTAAATTTTTTATTTTTAAAAAAATCCCGAATCCCGGGCGGGATCCCGGATAATTATTTTCGGGATTTTTGAAATTCGGGATTTTTTCGAAATTCCTCCCTCGGGATCCCGTCCCGGCCTCGGCTAAGAAAAAAAAATTCCGACTCGGGATCCCGGAAGTGCGATTTTGCCGACCTCTAATATATAGTCAATGATTGATACTTGTAAAAAGTCGAACTATTCTGCGGCGTTTTATAGGGACTGACTACCTCAAGAAATTTAAAGCAAATACATTCCAGAAGGAATGTCTAAATATGAAATTAACTACCCTATAAGTATGCATGTTTGAAGAAAATTAATTGATAAATTTTTTGGGTGGTAAAAATTCTTTTGTTGCTTTTTAAATTACTTAAAATTCCATTTCAATATAAACTATTGAAACCCCATTAAAATTCAAATTTTTCAAGAAATATGCAAAAAATTTAAACAAAAATTTTTAACATAATCTCATCTTTTGATTAACATTTTTTAACATCCCTTTATTTCATAACATCACTTCATTTTTTCCCCTTCTTTGCAACATTTTTGGCAAAAGCATCTAAATTTAAAAAAGTTTTTTGTTTTACAAAAGAAATTTTACTTGAAGGCGGCATAGCATTACCAAGAACCGTTTGAGCTGCCCGATTTTAGGCTTCCAACTTAACTATATATTATTATTTACTAAAATTGGAATTAAAAATAACCACAGCAACACGGTTTCTAAGCTCGCCATTTTCAGCTTTCAACTTGACGTTCTCAGCACGCAGTTCCTCCAATAAACCAACAACGTACTCAGACGCTACCGGACTGGCTACAGATTGACCTTTAGGTGAGGCTTTTTTAGGCGAAGCGTTCATCTTTTGGATGATACTCGGATTATCATAAATATCGTTAGGCATTTTAAAATCTAAAAAAATGTTTCAAAGAATCTTTAGATAAAAAAAATAGAAATTATATTTCAAGTAAAAAATGATTTTCGAATCCGCATTCTTCGCCTTAAGCTTATCGTTTTCAGCACGAACTTCCTCAAGCAAGCCAAGTGGCCTCGGAGTACGTCGTTGGCTTGCTTGAGGAAGTTCGTGCTGAAAACGTTAAGCTTAAGGCGAAGAATGCGGATTCGAAAATCATTTTTTACTTGAAATATAATTTCTATTTTTTTTATCTAAAGATTCTTCGAAACATTTTTTTAGATTTTAAAATGCCTAACGATATTTATGATAATCCGAGTATCATCCAAAAGATGAACGCTTCGCCTAAAAAAGCCTCACCTAAAGGTCAATCTGTAGCCAGTCCGGTAGCGTCTGAGTACGTTGTTGGTTTATTGGAGGAACTGCGTGCTGAGAACGTCAAGTTGAAAGCTGAAAATGGCGAGCTTAGAAACCGTGTTGCTGTGGTTATTTTTAATTCCAATTTTAGTAAATAATAATATATAGTTAAGTTGGAAGCCTAAAATCGGGCAGCTCAAACGGTTCTTGGTAATGCTATGCCGCCTTCAAGTAAAATTTCTTTTGTAAAACAAAAAACTTTTTTAAATTTAGATGCTTTTGCCAAAAATGTTGCAAAGAAGGGGAAAAAATGAAGTGATGTTATGAAATAAAGGGATGTTAAAAAATGTTAATCAAAAGATGAGATTATGTTAAAAATTTTTGTTTAAATTTTTTGCATATTTCTTGAAAAATTTGAATTTTAATGGGGTTTCAATAGTTTATATTGAAATGGAATTTTAAGTAATTTATAAAGCCATAAAAACGCCGCAGAAAAGTTTGACTTTTTACAATTATCAATCATTAGCTAACTATTCGAATATTCCCAGCTCTCTGGTTCATTCTAGGTTCCTAAAGGATCTATGCCAGACTTCAAAAAAACTATTCAGTATTCATACCAGCCATCGATAGGCGAAAATTAACTGTAGTTATACTTTTCATTATCTCAATAGCCCTTTTCTTACATTAGTTAAAAAAGCGTGAAAAGTATCTACACTTGAGGTCCGACTATTTTATGTCAAAATAAATTAAAAATATTTTTTAAATGCCAATTTTAAAAAATCACGTTTAGGTAAAAAATCGAAAAAAATAATATTTTTAAATAAATTTTGACATAACTTGAAAAAAAGTGCCAATAATTTTGTAAATAATTTTAAAGATACCAAAAAAATAAAATTGTTCAAATTTTTTCATACCATCAGATTTGTTGTTGTTGCTCAATTTCCATATTTTGAGGATAAATTTCACTTTCATTTCCAACACTATATTCACTAAAATCTTGAGAGTTTGTTGTTGAATCGAGAAGAGAATTGTTGCTGCTGTTGTTAGTCCAAGCACAGCTGTTGTTTAAAATATCATGAATTCGATAACGTTCACGGATACGTGGACGGACATCTTGACCCTACAAAAAATAAAAAGAATAATTTAGTCCGGTTTATCAAAAAGTTAGTTTAGTACCCCTATTATATTTTCCAATTTTAGAGGCTAAATCCGTGTTTTAAACAAGTTGTCACCTTTTAATTCACTAGAAATAAATCAAGAGGTCCTTTTCCCCTATTTTTAATATTGTTCGTAAGTTAAAAATTTGTTGATTAAATTATTACAAATTTGTCAAAAAATCTTTTTGAATAATTGTTGCTGTGGGCCAAAATCTAAACCAGAGAATTTTTCAAAAAAAATTTTCTGGAAAGATAAGCCTGTAAGTCATTTTTCCTCAAAATTCTGTCTATTTTTACTCGATTAAAAGTCCACGCTTATATTTTTGATTTTATCCCTATTTTGCTCCCTTGTTACCTATCTCATGATTTATAGAAGAGCAGTGATTGTGCCGACTCAAAAAATAAATTCCCGATTTCGGGAATATTCCCTACTTCCCTGACTACTCCGTTGTATACTACTCCTTCCTATTAACAATAAGAATTAAATTTAAACAAACCTCTCTACTTAAAGACTCCAAAAAAGGTATCAACTTCAACAATTCAGTATCATTCCTCTCAACGAACCAACTCTCAATTGGAATTCCATTGTCAATTTGATAGGCAAATGATTGAAGGCAATTGTCGATAATTACAGTTTTTGAAAGATCTCTTCCAAGAATACTCAAATCTTTGATGTAATTGCCAGCAACAAATACACAATGTTCACGGTAGAGACGGTGACGAATAAATCGTTTTCCAGGATCGAGTAAATTCTGAAAAAATAATTTTAAAAATTAGTAGAAAAATGAAAAAAATTCAAACCAAAAGTTTCTCTGCATAAACTCTCTTACTCGCAGTAAAGAGAACAATTTCAAAATGATTTGATAATCGTTCAAGAAATTCGTGAAGATGAGGACGAACTCTGACAAAAACCTTAAAAATGAGGTTTTAAAAAAATTTATTTGAAAAATTAGTTATTTTGTCTAATAAGTAGGGTTGTCGGTTCTATGGAAAGCTGTGGATATCCGAAAAGAACCAACGGACCGAGCCGAAAAATCCTCGAATATTCGATTCGATGCCAAAACGATAATATCCTCTAAACACTATATGAGAATTGACAGTGTATCAGAGGTGGGTCGGAACAGTCAAAGGTGTCGGAAATCGGAACTTTTTCAAAAGTCGAAAATCGGAAATCAAAATTTTTTTCGGAAATCGGACGGAAAGATAACTCGGAAATCGGAATTCCGACCCACCCTTCAGTATATAGCAAACTGCCGATAGGCCCAGGTTCGAAATCACCCAGGAAAAATACTTCTCATTCTGTAAATTGATCTAAATAAAATTAAAAACCTGGAAAACTTGATCTTGAAATTCAACTTCAAAAGTCATTGCAGCATCAGGCAATTCTTCAATACTACAATGAACCAATGTCTCATCCAAATCCAAAACTAATGAGTAGAGAGGCGTAGATCTTGTCCTCAAAGGAAGTGCTGGACTTCGATAACGCATTTCTTCTGTTGGAGGAGGCAAACTTTGAAGTAAAGCAATACTTAAATTTAAAAAAAATTGGTAAAAGACTATATAGCATTTTAAATAATTTTGAATTATTTTGGAAAATAGTAACTAGTTTCTTGAGATTTTTGTACAGACACTTTCCGAACTTTCTTAAAAAATTTTTCAGACTTTTTTAGTCAAAAATACAAAAAAATTCTAGAAGTCCCCGAAATTTGCTTTATTTGGGTACTTTATGGATATGTCACCCCCCCCCTCCTATTTTGAGTCTCAGAGTTTTCCTTAAACGTAGAAAATGGTCAGAGATTATTTTCTTCTCCATGTCAATCATTTTTCTTTCTTCAAGCAAATGTGGTAAATGTATAAACGAAATGAGTGAAATGTAAGTACAAAATATGTGAAAAGGCAAAATAAACAAGCAAAATACTTGAAGAAGGAAAAAATGATTGACATGGAGAAGAAAATAATCTCTGACCATTTTCTACGTTGAAGGAAAACTCTGAGACTCAAAATAGGAGGGGGGGTGACATATCCATAAAGTACCCTTTATTTGTATGTTTCACACAAATATTTAAAAAGCAAAAATTAGTTACTGACAAGCGGACTTGAAACAGAGACCTCTATAAACAGTCAGTCAGATCTAAAGTTGACGGTTCGTAAACGAACCAAAGAACCAATGATATTTCGGTTCGTTTCTGGACATCCAAAGATTTCCCAGCACCGCCAACCCTAGTCAGATAACATTTTTAGTCAAATCACACTGGCTGGTTACTTCAAAAGTGAACCCTCCCTCAATTAAAAAATATACACAAAAAATTTACGATTGATTATCAATTTGTGGAGCAAATGAAGAATTATCAGAACCATCATGAGGCAATTGAATTTCTTGAAGAACAGAAGTAATTAAAGAAGAATCGTTGTTATTATTTAATTGTTGGGCGTTTGTTGTTGGTGAAGTAGAATTACTAGTTCCCTCAATTGATCCATCATTATCACTAAAATTTTAGAATATTAGCCAGCTAAAAATTATTGTGGGTCCTATTTTTACGGACAAACCACAAAATAAAAATATTCTTGCGGACAAATTACAAAAACCCAAACTTCCCTAAAGGTTTGAAGGGTATTTCCATCCCCTATTAAATCAGAAAAAAATGCATATTGGAACATAAAACTAAATTAAGCCCAAACTATGTTTGTTGGTTTCAAACCGAACTGAAAACCTCAAAATGTTTTTAGTTTCGTTAGTCGGTCCAGTTAATATACAAATTTGTTAAACCGACATCCTAATCCCAGCTATTGGAAGGGGTTTTCTGATCGATTGAAAGCCAAAAAGAAAGTAAAGCAAAGTGAGGCCCTATAACTTTTCGTTTTTTATTCCAATTTTTAAGATTTTTGATTTAAGGCCCCAACAATTCAAAAAAATTAAAAAAACCTAAAATCCTTATTGTCCAATCCATCCAAAACAACAGCACCGTCGCCATCATCCTTTGTACTTTTCTGTTGTATTTGTTGACAATTAGATCTACGTGCTCTTGTTGTGAATGAAGTTGAAGGTGTAGATTTTTTAGTGGAATTAGTAACGGTGTTTCTTCCTTAAAAATTTTTAAATTAAATTTTTAAACAAAATTAAAAACAAAAAAAAACTCAAGTCAGCTGGACAAGTTTGGACACCGGGCAGGAATCGAATCAGGTCCTTTTGACAGTTATTGCTAGGCATTTCACTCACAATTAGAATTGTTGATTCGGAACTGACTCCAAGAACCGAGGATTTTTCTATTCGGTTCGGTTATCAAAAAAAACCCTGAAATAACCGACAACCCTACTCACCACATATAGGTGCTCTATCGACTGAGAGCTAATGCATGATTTCTCTTTTAAAAATATTAAGAACCTACAAAGTAGTTTAAATGCCTGTCAAATAGACCCTACCTCCCTTACCACTAAAAATTATTTTAGTTAGTTTTTGTACTAGATTCTTTGATCAGAAATATAACCGATTTTAAACAAAATTTCAAAAAATCAAAGAAAGTTCAAAAAACCGAAATCTGAAATATCTGAACAACCCTGGGCCAATACTTCCCCTTTAAATAAATTTATTTATATTTACCACTATTCCTCCTTCGCCTCTCCATTGGTGTTTGTCCATTAGCCAAACCACTAGCTTGTTGTTGTTGTTTCTCAAAATGACCGTTGTTCAAATCCTTCCTCATTTCAAAAGAGCAATATTCAGGTTTTCTAACTTCTACTTGTAAAGACGCCATTCTATTTTTATTGGGAATTTTTCCAGGTTTTAAACAATTTTTCTCAGGAGATTCAAATTTCAGCCGCCAAATTTTTGATGTTTTTTGTTGTTAATTAAAATAATTTATTTTTATTTGACCTTATTATCATCTGAAAAATAAATCGTTTTTAGTACCCCCTTCCTTCCTTTAAGTATTAAAATGGTCAGATTTGCTTAGTTCCCCTGACTTTAATTTAGTCTGTGCCGTGAGTGACCAGCTTTACTTTTTAGGAGTTTGAAGTCCTCTGAAGTTCGAGGAAGGAAAAGGAGGGTCCTCGGGGTCAATAGGTCTTAAGGGTGAAGGTTTTCCGTGTTGACCCTCCTGAAGACCTACATATCTGCAGTTCGAGGAAGGAAAAAAGGAGGGTCTAAAGGGGCAATAGGTCTTGAGGGTGTATGTCTTCAGGGTTGACCCCCTTCTGGAACCTGTCTTGAGTGCACTCCTTGATTTGCAATAGGCGCAACCTATTCCCGAATTTCTTAAGAGGAAGGAGAACCCTCCTTACTCACTAGAGATCGAGATTTTTTGAAAACCCTGGGCTTGTTCCTAGGTTTGATTTATTGACCTGGGCCGGATCCTGGGCTTGTAGTCCAGGAAAACCCCAGGCCTAGGAAAACCCCAGGAATGTCAAAAAATGCCTGGGCCTGAAATCTGGGTACAGGAAAACCCCAGGCCTTGGTCCAGGTCCAGCTCGATCTCTATTACTCACCTAGAATTATGGTACTCACGTGCAATACGAGCTGGGTACTTATCGCCATAAAGCTAGCCTGACCATTTCTTGTACTTCGAAGAAAAATAAAAAAAGGGGGAGCAACAAATTACTTTTTCCTACCTTCAACACTCTCGTGTTGTTTTTTCAATTAATAAAATGTTACAAAAATAATTTTTTAAACTCGCTTAAAGCAGCGCAAAAATAGGAAAATAACAAAAAAAAGAAAATTAAAAATTAAAGAAAAATAAAAGAAGAGAGATAACAGGTTAGAGAAAAATACAAAAGAAAAGTTAAGGTAAAGAGAAGAGAAGCCATTTTCTTTTTGTTATAAAAGGGGAGTTAAAAAACAAGCAAAAGAAAGAACAAAATTTAGCGGATGTTTTAGCGGAATATAAGGTGCAAATGGAAATACTAATATTAGCCTTTTATTTTTGCAGGCTACCCTACAACTCATCGAATCCTTAACTCATCGAATCCTCAACTCATCGAATCGGCCAAAAACACTCAACTCATCGAATCCTTAACTCATCGAATCCTCAACTCATCGAATCGGCCAAAAACGATCAACTCATCGAATCCTCCCAAACGGGGACGTTTGAGTCCCTGTGTTTATTTTTTTTAGATTTTTTATTGTTTTGTTTATTTTTTTGTTTTCTTCTGGGGGTTCAACTAATTTTGTTAATTAGTTGATCGGGCACTCATCCAAGTCTATCCGGCCAGTGAAAACATTATCAGATAATGAGAATGTTTTCTCACATTCCTGGTAAATTATGATGGAGATTTTACCGGGTAAAACCGGACCAGATTAGTCCAGTAGACCCCGATTATGCCCAAAAGGCCTTTTTCCTAGCCTCCATAGCAGCAAAAAATTTTTTCACCGAAGATTCAGTTAGCCCTTTCAGGAGAAAAATAAACACGGGGACTCAAACGTCCCCTTTTGGAAGGATTCGATGAGTTGATCGTTTTTGGCCAATTCGATGAGTTGAGGATTCGATGAGTTAAGGATTCGATGAGTTGAGTATTTTTGGCTGATTCGATGAGTTAAGGAATTTTAGCCGATTCGATGAGTTGAGCGTTTTTGGCCGATTCGATGAGTTAAGGATTCGATGAGTTGAGCGGGCACGAAATAAAAGGGGGAAAGTTGAAGTTTTTTGTAAGAAAGAGGAGGAATATAAATTTTAATTTGTTTACGTACAGGGAACCCAGTTTTTAAATAGTACCTAGTAGAGATCGAGCTGGCCTGGACCAAGGCTTGGGTTTTTTCTGTACACAGAATCCAGGTCCAGGCATCGTTGACCTTCCTTGGTTTTTCCTGGGTTTTGGTTTTTCCTGGACTACAGGCCCAGGAACCGGCCCAGGTCAATAAATGGCCCAGGTCAATAAATCAAACCCAGGAACAGGCCCAAGCTTTTCAAAAATCTCGATCTCTAGTACCTAGAGGCTGAAGAAACCTAGTTTTTATATACCTAATCTCCTGAAGCTGAATCGTACCTAATAATGAACTGGGGGTGTAGTCTAGGCATCTCCATCTACTTAATGGTCAGCCAACTTTTTAAAGTACCTGTTTCTTAAATAGATGGGGGTATTTTTATAAGCGAGATTCTACTGTATCCACTAAATTTTAATACTTTTTGATTGCCAAGTTCCCCAACTTGCCAACAATTTATCTTTTATTGGCATGTTTTCCTTTTAATATTACATTTATTTTGGCTATATTTAAAGAGAGAGAGAGAGTTCCTGCGGGTAGAATTAACGGTTATTTTTCTTTTAGTATTTGTGGCCAGTTTAAGGTTAAAAACAATGGATTAAATGTCGAGTAAAGGCTTTTAACTCGTTTAAAAGAGCAATATTTTCTGTTTTGCCCCATTTTTAGATACCCTCAATAGTAGATACACCCCTATTTAAGATACGCTTTTTAAAAATTTGATTGGCCACTGGGTAACATGGATGTCACGGGTCACTCGAAACCCGATGTCTGAAACCCGAAACTTTTTTCTACTCGAAACCTTGTCCGAGAAAAATTTGAAAACCCGACCCGAGACCCGATCCGACTTTCTTTCTCAACCCGTGACACGTTTCGGGCGGAATAGCTTCGAAGGCAATACCTTCCTCCTAAGGTAGTCTTCATTATGCACCCAAAGTAAGGGTTGGGGTTTTCGAGTCAGGCCGACGTTCGAGTCATTGTTTCGGGATCGGGCCCCTAATCCAAAGGACATCTCTAAACGAGGATGAGGGTTATTGAGATGACTAGAATAATCCAAAAACGGATTCCTTCCAGGTATAAAATGCGCATTAAATTGCCGCTATAAGTAGGTAATTTGGCTGTGACATTAAAGAAAAAAAAATAAAAATATTTTAAATGCGGCTGCCAAAAAGAAACATAAAATAAAAATGTGGGTGGAAAGGAGAAAAATGACAATACTAACATGAAGAAAAAAACTCTAGGATCCAACGCCAGCCTGAAAGGAACCATTGCACTAAAGGAGATCTCCTTCCTTCTTTTTCTACTATCGCCCTCCCCCCATCTCCGCAGTATTTTTATTTTTTTTTAGAGTTTTGTTGGCGGCTGGCCCGCCGGAGAAAGAAAAAAGAACGCATTTTTCAGCACTCCATTTTGCCCCCTTCATTTTTCCCCTTTCCTCCATCATAAAATCGACATTTCAACGTCCACCGCCCAAAAACTCTTTTTTAGAAGGATGAAAAGAAGAAAATATGAGCAGATGATGGTAGGCAAATAGGAAAGGATTGACAAGAAAAATAAAAAGAAAAATAGTATTTTTATATTTAAGAAGACGAAAAAATGACTTTTTAAAGTTGCTGGAAGAAAATTGGGAATATAAAGGTACACAACAATAAGCATGCATTTTGGGGGGTTAGGTTAAAATAGAAGAATGATAGCTTTGCGCCCCTTAGTATTGTGACGGAAATGAGTTATAGAAGAAGGGAAAAATGTTTGGGTTAAATTACCTTCACATATTAAAATTAGATTTTCAACATTCTATATTTTGATTTCTTAAAACAGAGGATTTAACAGTTTAGATTTTCTAATTAACCATTTCTAAATGCTCAGAATTCAATAAATTCTTACCATTTTGGAAATTTTATTTACTCGGCCGGGGGTTGATTTTGGTGTCATTCGACACAGCTCGACTAGTTCTATAATTTGTTAGCAGACTGACCATTTTTAACATATTTAACAAAGAAATTGACTGAGGGAACTAAATAAGTACCCCCAAGTTTTCTGAGACTAACACCATTCGATTCAGCCTGACGAGTCATGCCGAATGAGCTACTCCATGTTTTCTCCAACAGAGCGGCTGTCTCTAATTGAAACGGCAGCTTTCTGAGAAGTGATTGAAAAATAGAGCAACCGGTACAGAACATTGGACTGTAGGGGATACGATAATGCACTCTGTTGCTGGCACTCAATCGACCTTTACCAATAAAAATTTTTTTGGCGGGCGAATTTATCAAAAAAATTTTTTAAGGATTTTCAATACGAAATCCCGTAAATCCGGGATATCCCGTTTGTCGCTTTAAACTAGGGATTTCGGAAGGATCCCTTAAATCTCATACTCCCTTCTATACTGATTCCTAAGCAAAATAATTGTTTAAGCTTTCTAAAATTTATTTTTTGCAGATTTTGAATTGCTTTAATTATTTAAATATTTTTGACTTTCTTTTAAAATATGGACTCATCTCAACCTAAATTATCTCATTGTTTCTTCCAGGTTTGTTTTTAATTTCCAATTTGGTAAAAGTGTTTATACGCCTTTTTCATCTTTCCCAGGATTCCTTCGATTTCCCGTTGGCCCAAAATCAGCCAAAAAGATAGGGGAAAGATAGGATTTTGGGGCTTTTCTGGTCCAGAAAAATGTGTAGAACTCTTTCTATGTTTTTAAGGTTTTATAATAGTGTTTAAGTCCGAATATAAGCTTATTTATTCCGACTGCGGGACCCAAGTTCGACCAATTCAAATTTTATTTCCATTCTGGGAGTCCCCTGCTCTTAGTACATACGGTACGCTCTTATAACTTTGGGTGAGTAGGGCTTCTATTCATATGCAAAATTTAATGGGAATACAGTGAACCTATTGAAAATATTGGGGTTAGGCCCGAAGCCGGGGGAGGGGGGGGGGGGGTTAGTAAAATTCTCAAAATTTTCGCCTCCGGCGCTGAAAATAAAAATTTCCCCCCTTGGCCCCCTCCCCCGAAAAAAAATCCTGGCTACGGGCCTGATTGGGGTCCTTTGGGGGAGATGAAAAATGCGTCACATAAACAACAATTTTACCCAAACTTTTTTTCAAGTATTTTTTCGACGACAAAGTGCCTAATGGTTATCAGCCGATACTTCAAGTTTTGCAAATTCGTCCACTTCAGGGACAGAACCAATTAAGGGCTAGACTTTCTGATGGAATTTTTGCCTATGCTGGTTGTGTTGTTACAAATCTTATTTCGGCAAGATTTCAAGCTGATCAACTCTCTACAAATAATGGAATTATTCAAGTTACAAAGTGGAAGAGAACTTTTACATCGTAAATTTTATTTTTTTGTTTAAAGTTTGATAAAAAAATCCGCAAAAGTCGAGTTCGACTTTTGCGGACTTTTTTTGCGGATTTTCCCTTTTATCTTTAGTGCGGTTCACTTGCTTATCTTAGACGGCGTCTAGTTTGGACGCAATTGTAAAAAATTTTTTCCATAGCCTCAATCCTTTCAATTTTTTCTAAATCTGCAGCTTGCAATCTGCAAATCAAAAAAAAAACGCAATTTTACGTAATCCGCAACTGTCAGCCCTATCGGCGTCCCATTTTTGTATGGCGCCTACATTCCAATGCCCATTTCTATTTATTAGTCAGATAAATTGCTAAGAGAATTTGTTGAGGAAAGTCCGCTAAATCCAGTCAGCTTATATTGTCATTCTTTACAAATTACTTCGATTTCTGGCATTTTTTTTAATTTGTTGGAAATTATTTCAATCATTTTTGGTAATCAATCCTTAACAATTTTTAAATTTCCCCTTTCTAATACCTTTCTAGGAAGATTATTCTTGATAAAAAATAAGAAAAATATTCTAAGATCATTTTTATTTTTCAGTGGCAAGATTGTCTTCAACATGCTTGATTACAATTTAATCTCTTTGGAATTTCCTGTCATTGGTAATCCTCAAGCACATTCTGGCAATCCTGAAGAATATCGAAATTACATGCAGGTATAAATTTTTAATTTTATACTTTAGGCCAGTTCACTTTATATAAGGAATGGATTATCCCAAACCCTAGACTTCCTTAAAAGATTTTCCTGATCCTGGGAAAGTTTAAAATCGGATCTTACCCCAAGCCGACTTTTTCAACTTTTTCTGTCTCTGTTTTGTACTTAAAGTCACGAGTTTTATTAAGTTTTTGAGGTAGAAAAAACTAGAAATAGTCGTATTTGAAAAAATAGGGCCTCAAGGTAGTCGTTGTGCTACGCTAGGAGGAACGGGGTTTAGGAGGAAATTTGGTCATTTTGTGTGAGTCAGAAAATTTTTTTATAGGGAAACTTCTGGGCTCTTTTAAGTACTTTAAAAAGATTTTTATTCATTTTCCTACCCATTTCCTCTTTTTATTTTTTTAATTTTATAAATTGTTTATTTTTAAGAACCAATCCGATTTCTTACAACACACGCCAACAAAAACTGAACCAGAAAACGCATGGGGAACATCTTCAGCAAAAAGAGGACGTAATAACTCTTCTCCAGAGCGTCAGCCTTTGACTAAACGTCAACCAAATGCTTCTGCTATGCCTGGGATTGTTCCAATTGGATTAATTACTCCGTACTGCAACAAGTTTGTTTAAGATTAATTTTGAAAATTTGGTAAAAAAATTTTTTAGATGGCGAATTTGTGGAATTGTTAGTTCAAAAGATCCTCAAATTAAGGAATTTACAAACGCTAAAGGAAAATTTCGAGTTTTTGGATTTGTTTTAACTGATCAAAGTTCGAGTTCAATTCGAATTTCTGCTTTTTCTGAGGTTGCTGATAAATATTTTCCAATGTTGGAAAATGGACAGGTTTAAATTCTTTAAATTATTTTCTTTGGGATCGGCGACTAGGGAAGAATTTTGAATATAATTCAAAAATTATATTTTTCATAAACCTAGCTAATTTTTTATGTTTATTTATGGTTAACCACAAATTTAGATATTATTTGTAATCTTGATATATAGTAGTGATCAGTGCTGATTGTTGGTACGGCTCCGGGACCGAATCCGTTTAATTTATTTATAAGCTTTGAAAAGGTCTGACATGAACCTGATATAAGCCTCAAAATGTTCAGTACCTAGCACCAGGCCCGTAGCCAGGGGGTAGGGGAAAAATCCTGGCTACGGGCCTGCCTATCACTAATAGTGACAATTCTGTCCCTTCGAGTTTGTTATACCGAGATAAAAACCATGGGGTTCCACTTCAATTTATGTTTTAAAGTACTAACCTGAAAATTTTCACAATTTTTCATTTTATAGGCTTATTATGTTAGTGGAGGTGCTCGTGCTGGTTCTGTTAAAGCAGCAAATAAGCAATTCAACAACACTGGGCATGATTATGAAATTGTTTTGGATCGGGATTCTGAGGTTTTTAAAGCTTTTTAACTTTTAAAAATTTATTTTTTATAGATTGTCTACTGCAATGATAAATTTGAGCCTCCAAAACTTCGTTTGAAACCCGTCCATTTGGTTAACATTCCACAACATGCTAATGAATGTGTTGATGTTCAAGCAGTTGTTGAACGTGTAGGTGAACCTACTCAAGTTATGAGCCGAAAAGATCAACGCCTTTTGGATAAACGAGAAGTTTTTTTGGTTGATAAATCTGGAACAGAAATTTGCCTTACTTTGTGGAATGAAATGGTTCAAAGTTTTGAAGTTGAGCCTGGGAAAGTTATTGGAATTAAGGGCGCTGTTGTAAGAGAATTTAACGGTTATTTTTATAATTTAAAAAAATATTTTTTTGATATTTTTTTCTATCCAGTGTGACTAGAGCTATCCCTTCCCCCCTAAATGGGGGAAAGGGGGAAAACTTAGAAAAGTTTGGTCGCACACCCAATGTTAGCCCCCTCCCCGAAACCGACCCCCTGGATATGACCATGATTCCATTTTTTTACCTTGTGACTAAGGTTCCCAACCTTACTAAAAATCTTATTGTTAGTGACCACAATTCTGGAGCCGTTGTTTTTTACTTTGTTTCTCGCGTTGGTATGAATAGGGTCAACGTATCCTATGAAATTCCCCGATATCCTGATCCGTTATCTAATCTAAAAATTGCGAATTTTGGTCTAGATTTGTTCATTTCTGGATATTCGCTTTCAGATCCAGATTCACCTATCCCTAGGCTTGAATACTAGTCTATTCCAAGGTATTTGTTCTCTTCAATTATTTTTTATTTAAAAAAATTCTAATTTTTCAGGCGGCTTTTCACTCTCGAACACTACAGGTACTCAAATAATTGAAGACCCAGAGGGCGATTTTACCCGACAACTCTATCAATGGTATCGTGATCAGAAGCCTTTGCAGGAAATCAAATCTTTAACTATTAAAACTGATTTTGCTACAGTTATTGGTAAAAAATTGTTGCTTTTTATTATTCCTTTTAAAAATTTTAGAGCGTGATCTCCGTTTGATTGGTCCTCTTTTGCAGCACGGAATCGACCGAGACAGTGAAAAAGGACAATATCTTTATATTAAAGGGATGGTGAATGCTGTAAAGACTGAACAAGCTATTTATCAGGTTTTTTTTAATTTTTGGATTAATTTTTATTTTTTATTTTCATTTTTAAAGGCTTGCCCAGTCAAAGGCTGCCGCAAAAAATTGCAAATGGAGGGTAATCAATATCGATGTGAAAAATGCAATCAAACATTTGATAACTACTCGAATATTCTTATGCTTCAACTTGAAGTTGCTGACTTTACTGGGACTGTTTGGATGACTATGTTTGATGAATTGGCGACATGTTTATTTTTTGAAATTTTTTTTAATCTAAAAATTGTTTTGTAGCTTTGCTTGAGACGTCCGCTGATGAATTGGCTCAATTGCAGAGAGATGATGTAATTTTATTTTTTTCGTTAGAAGGGTTGACAGATTATAGGTGTTTGAAAAATGGTTGAATTCGGGTTTCCTCCATGATACGTCAATCGTTTGGAGAGTGTTTTGTCTTAATGGTTTTCGTAGTAGTGATGGCAGATAGGGTTATTATCTGAAGAAAATCCGGGTTGCATCCGAATTTTCTACATGAACCGCAAACACTCACGTTAGTGATTTTTTTAACTCTGACGTGAGTGTGTCAGGGATTTAATGGATTTGTGATTCTGGTCGCTATTCGGTTGTAACATATTTAGTTGCCGTTTTTTATTAAAAGTTTCGGGGTCCGAATTTACATAAATTCTTAGTCTATGATCATGAATTTTTGTACATATACTAATTAGACTTTCCTCTAACAGCCTCTAAAATTTTAAAATTTTTTGTTAAGCATAGTAAGAGTTATGGTCGAAAAATTCGGGGTAGTCAAATTACCGATTTTTAGCAAATATATCAAAATATCACGTAAATTATTGGTAAATGGTTGGCATGTGATATACCAATCGAAAGCTCTTCAAATGCTCTAACTAGCGAAAAAAAGAAAATTTTAAAAATTCGAACGAGAAAGAAAGTCGAAATTTCGACCCCTGAAATTTCGACCCTTGTTTCGACCAAAAAAGTTTTTTCGGTTTAGTTTCTCATATAGAACTGCGAGGGCTTCTGAATAACGTTCAAATTATCCAAATCGGATAACTTTACGCAAAGTTCAAAATTTTGAGTTTTTGGGGGGATGTCTACTCGTTTTTTCCATTACTTGACACAATGGTTTTTTGTAAATTTAATTATTAATTTAAAAATTTTATAAAATTTTGTTAATACTATCTTGTGTAACTCAGAAAGGGCTTTCGAATGGTATATTACAAATTATATTAAATCCAAAAATTTTTCGAGAAAATTTGAAATTTGTAAAATATGCCAGATTCGTCTTTTTCGACCATAACTTTTGAAATACCTAACCAAAAAATCTCATATTTAATAATTTGATAGACAACCCCATGTTGAGCGTATATGAAAAATTTCACTTGGATTGGTTTATTTCTGTTTATATTATGAAATTTTCCGCTAAAGCTCAAAAATTGCTTTCCGAGTTAGAGGTATTCTAGAGGTCCTGAAACGAGCATAGGACATGAAACTTGGAAACACCATATGTTAGATTAAAGAGCAGATCCTGGGCTTCAAAATGGCATATAGAACATGCAATTATGACATGCATGTTATGCCATTATGCCTTCTCGAAAAAAACGGCAACTAAATATGTTACAACCGAATATTTTGTCCTCAATGACTTTTAATTTAATTATTAATATTTTCAATTTAATTTTTCAGCATTATCGTTTTGATGCGATTTTCAACAAGATACGATTTCACGATTTTGTGTTTCGTATTCGTGCAAAATATGAGATTTACAATTTGAGTTTTTTATAATTTAATTTTTTTTATCAGGGGTACCTAAAGGTCGCATTTCGAGGGGTCATTCTTTGTCATTCTCCTTTAAACTTTTTTCCTTTTTCGGGATGAGGGTTACTTCATTTCAGTGTGGCTATAGCCCCGGAAGCCCCCTGGCTGCCCTCATAATTTTCTAAATTTTTTTCAATTTTAGGACCAAGAGAATCTCAAATTGTCTGTTTTCGATGTTAAACCAGTCCAATACGAAAAGCTTAAAACTATTTATTCAAATGCTTTGAAGAATCTCCCATTAGAGGAAGAAATGTCGCATGTTGACGACGACTTTTGAGTTTATTTTGATTTTTAATTTATTTGTTTACATAAATAACTGTCACATTTTTTTGAATTTTTAATAATATGACAGACAGTTTTTATGTATTTTTATTTATTCATTTGCTTTTTTTGCAGTAATAAAAATTGATAAAGAACGAGATTTTAATGTTTGATTCAATAATTGTTTTTATTACAATTTTATTTATTTTTTGACTTTTTTTGTCTAATATTTTTATCAGCAATTTATCATTTCAAGAATGTTGATTGGACGTGAAAAAGAATTTGAGTTAATTTCATCATTGATCTCAACAGCTTTAAAGGACAAATCTTCACTTTGTGTCTATATTAGTGGTCCTCCTGGGACGGGAAAAACTGCGACAGTCAAGGAGGTGGTTAATCATTTGCAGTGGAAGATTGATAAAAATGGACGTCGCAAAGAGGTTTAAAGTTAACTAGATAAGTAGGGTTCGGAGGGTCTTTCATATTTTTCGGGGGTTGGGAATAATTTTGTAAAGTTAACGAGATGATTCTGACATGGGTTTATTTTTAATTTGATGAGAAAAATTACATTAGTCTGGAATATTTTGATATTCGATACTCGGATAATATCCATGGGATTTATCACAAAATATTTTGCGAGATCCCGCAATCTCATTAAATGCGGGATTGAACAAGTAGGATCTCACACAATCTAATGTATGACTGGTCTCTTGCCGATCACCTGTTTTGTATTCTAGAAAATCTCAGTAAATATTCTAGCTCTATTTTAAATGTCAATTTATCAATGTATCAAATTTTTTAAATTAATCACCTATTGTGCTATTGTCACATGCCCATAGACTGCTTATTTTCTCTTAATTTGTTTTTCAGTTTCATTTCGTTTCAATTGATTGTTTTGCCTCATCTACAACTACTTCTCTTGCTCAACATATTTTGCTTCGACTCGAAACTCAAACAAAAATATCAAATGGCAAACAAGTTTTACAAGCTTTGGAAAACAAAATTTCTAAATGCAAAATTCCGATGTTTGTTTTTTTGATAATTTTAAATAATTTTTATGTTTTTGTAGTTTAATTTTGCTTGATGAAGTTGACAACTTAGTTTCTCGCAAAGATGAAATAATCTATGACGCTTTTAATTGGCCAAATAAATTTCCGGGACGTGTTGTTGTTATAGGTATATTTTTATTAAAGATTTTGTGATTCAAGTCTTGTGTCGTAGAAGGATTTCAGTATTTTTCTCCCCCAACTTTTAACCTTTTCAGTCTCAATTTAATATGAGTTGTCTAGGCATGCTTTTTAGAATCTCATTTTGAGTTTTCACTATCATATTGACTTGGGATAAATCTAAACAGTAATTTTTGTCTAGTATTTATACTCACTTCGTTCATCATATTCAGACTACCGATTGAGCTCTCTTGCATCTCCACTTACGGACTTTGTTTTTTCTTTTATAAACACCCTTCAAGCTGGGGTTTATTTAAAAAGAAATCTCTTTTATAACGTTATTTTGAGCAGAAATCTAGCCGACTCGATTTCCAGAATCGGGAATTCCCGACGTCTTTTCTTTGGGGGAGAATCCAAATTCCTGAAATCGTGTGAATTTATTTTTTTTTCTCTAGGCTAGATCTCTACTTTTTATACTCCGTCACTTTCTACGTTTAATTTAATCGGATAAAAATTCAAGAAAACCTATTCCTTAAAAAGCATGTTTATAAATAAGTTCCCCTCTTAAAAAATATTTCTTTTAGATATTTATTATTTTTATACAAATTTAGGCATTTCAAACTCTTTGGACCTTACAGAAAGACAACTATCAAAAATTAAATTTGCTCATCCTCCAAAATCAATCGTTTTTCCTCCTTATACAAGTGAAATGTTAATTTCTATTTTAACTTCATATCTAAATAATATTGGAAGCAAATCAAGCATTGATACAAAAGCAATAGAATTATGTGCAAGAAAGGTTGCCTCAATGACTGGGGATGTTAGAAGAGCTTTGGATATTGCCTCACAAATGATAGTTAATTTTGAGTGAGTTGAGATTTTGTAAAAAAAAATTTTTAGGAAAGCTTTCCGGGTTTTTTTCTTCCAATATTCCTTTAATATTTGTCTTTGGCGTTCCGTTCTAATAAAGCTAAATTTTGTATATTTTTCTCGGGGAGAGAGGTGAAATATCACCAGCAAGGATGTCACGGGTTGAGAAAATCGGGTTGGGGGTTCAAAATTTTTTTCGAGTTGGGTTCCGATCAAAAAAAGTCCGTGTATCAGGTGACTTCCCTGATCACCTAAATCTTTTTTGTTATCTGAATCCAAGCACTTTGAGACATAAATTTTTTGATGTAAATGAGAGATTTACCAAATTTTGCTGAACCAAGAATTTTCTTGCCAAAAAATTTTTTGTTCTACTTTAAAATTTTAAGTGAGGAATTGGAAGAGCAAAATTCTCCAAAAAATGATGATAAACTGAAGGAAGTTAACAATAAAATTGTTGATACGGATAAGAATGAGTTTAAAATTCAACGCAGAAATTCATTAAAAACGCCCTTAAAAGAAGAAAGCAAGGAAAATGTCCCATCTTTGAAACGGCGTCTTCCACAATCTTTGCAAAAAGGAGATGTGACACCAAAAAAGAATGCTTGCCGTGAAGTTTTGAATGCAATTAATAAGGTTTTTGTTTTATTTGGGAGGAATTGAGCAAATAAAAAATAGTGATTAGCTTGAATGAATTGGGTGTCCAAATGTATTTTTGTTTTTGAGCATTGGTAACTTGGAAATTAACATTTCTTTTTTTGGGAGAAATTAACTATGTATCCCACTCATTAGTACCCTGCCTGTCTGTCCCTATCGAAATAATTTTTCCCGAAATGCGAAAATTTTTCATTTTTTCCTCGCAATAATATTCGGAGAAGAATGATCGAACAACTGAATTTTTCGCTTGAGAGTTTTCATAATTTCTTTGTTTTCACCTGTGGCGCTAAGAAATTTACTTAGATATAAATACGGAAAAATTTTATTACGTAACGCCAAAGGTTCAGCACGTATTCCATTATAGCCTCCTTTAAACCCTACCCCTTATTTCCTCCTTGTATTTATCCTAATTTAACCTTTTTTCAATTTTTAGACTATGGCTTCACCTTGTCAACGTTCCAAACTTCCCCAACATCCACGTATTTTATTGGCTACATTAATGCGATTAATTTCTTTCGACACTGAAAAGGTTCTTGTAGCGCCAGATTCTTCACCTTTTCATACACCTCCGCGAACACCAAAACGATCAGAATTTGCAACACCAACTCGATTGAATCGGACTCCAAAACGTTTATTTTCTACAAATAATATCAGATCTGTTCAGGTTTTTTTTGTTTTCTTAGATTTTTTTAGGGTTGTTGTGTTTTTAACTCAAAGGGAAGTATTTTTTGTGTTTAATTTAGAACGGTTCAAAATCAGACATGGTCATGGATACGGATATGGATACAGATATACCAAAATGCCTGCGGATATCCGCCTGTATCCGTCTGTATCTGCTGTAAATATCCGGATACGGATACCAAAATCCGTATCCATGTCCTAGTCTGTTCAAAACCGACTATTAACCTTGTTTTTTGAAAATCTAATTTTCGAATTTTACTTTTGATTAGAGCGGTTACAAGAATGTCTGTTTTAAAATTTGCTACTGAACCATCCTAATTTTTAAATACTAAATTTTAACAATTACGTCTTGACATTATGATTGTCGGTGCAGAACCAAGCCCCGAAGACCCTAGAATTTTTTGGGGCGGTTCCGGTTATCTGGAGATTTTCCAAGAATCGACAACCCTACTTATTGTTCAAATTGTCTCATTAAAATTTTTTTTTATTTTCTAGAATTCTCAATTTGATTCTTCAAGTGTAACACGCGATCGTCTTTTTCAAGCCTATTTACTTGTTTGCGAACAGTTGATGCTTCAACCATTAGCTACAGATGAATTGGATAATGCTTATGAAGTGTTGGAATCTCAAGCTATAATTTCTTTAAGTAAACCAATTAATGGAAAAAATAAACAACAAAGAGTTTGTTTTATGGTATGAAATTATTGAGTAATTTTTAAAAATATTTATGTTAGCAACCACAAGTAAGCTAGGCGGCTCCTATTGAAATTCCGGAATTTCCGGGTCTGGGACTGAACTTTTTGTTAAATAGTGAGGTTTTGATGGTGACGGATAGGGTTTGAGAATAGTTTTCAGAGAGTCAACGCTAATGTGATGATTATAGAATTTCTTTCGCTGTCAGAGAAAGAAAAAGTATTTACTTTGTGAAGATTTTATCAATGAGTTTCTTTAAAAATAATTTTTTAATGATGGGTTAATAAAGGAGTTAATGACTCATTTACTAATTAAAATGAGTAATTGAATAAAAATCAAACCCGAAAAACTCTGACTGACATGAGTAATTTCCTCCTTTCCGACACCACCATTTTATCAACAAAGCTTAAAAATTCACTTTCTCCAGAATAATTTTAAAACTTATTAAAGGTTGAAATGTCATTAGCGCGACAAGCAATTAATGACAATGAATTGATTGCATCAATTGAAGATATTGAATTATGAGAAAATTATTTTTCAAAAAAACCAAACTGTACTAATTTTATTTTTTATTTTAAAATATTTTTGTCGGAGAGGGAAAGTGTGGCTAGAATAATTTATGAGGGAAAGTGTGGCTAGAATAATTTATATATAAAATATTTTTGTCGGAAGAGAAAGTGTGGCTAGAATAATTTATGGAAATTTAAAAAAAATATTTTTAAGACAAAATTTCAATTTCAAAATTTATTCGGCACTATATGAAAGGAGGTCGATAATCGTTTTTTTTCATAACTTTTTTCTATTACTTTTTTCCTTCCTTAATTATGAATAATGGTCAGTCTTTTCTTCCTCGTTCAATTCCACTCTTTTACCTGTGGCATATTCAAATGAGGACAGAAAAGCACACACACACGGACAGACAAAACACGAGTGTCTGTTCGTGTCCGTCCGTGTTTGTCTGTCCGAGTACGTCCGTGTTTTGTCTGTCTGTGTTTTGTCTGTCCGAATCCGTCCGTCTTATGTCCGTCTGTGTCCGTCCGTGTTTTGTCTGTTCGAGTACGTCCGAGTTTTGTCTGTCTTTTTATCGACACAAAAAGAAAACAGGAGACCCTTGAAAGTATTAATTGCCTGTATTGAGTCATTCTCCTTTCCATTAATTCTTTTCTCTATCATTTCTTTTGATTATGCCACAGGGAATATAATGGAATAGAACAAGGAGGAAAATGCTGACCATTCTGTCATATCAACTAAGGAAAAAACTAATGGAAAAAAGTTATGAAAAAAAACGATTATCGACCTCCTTTCATATAGTGCCATTTATTCTTTCTCTTTTTCCTTTAACATTATTTTTGGGGAATTTACCTTTAATTTTTGAAAGAAATCTTTCACGTGCCTCACATTTATTTTAAAAAAATTTTCAGAAAATTTTCAAAAATTCACTTACAATTTCTTTCATTTTTTTGTCTTTCTTTGGCTATTTTTAACATTTATTTTTGATTAAAAAATTTGAAAAGAATTTTTTTTTGAATTATTAAATGTTTTTTAATCATTTTTATTTTTTTAAATTTATTTTTAATTTATTTTTAAATTAAAATAGAGAATGAATGCTCGTGTTTTGGCAGGCTCTAATGTTGTTTTGATTCTTTGTGGTTCTTTTAATCCTCCAACTTATTTACATCTTCGAATGTTTGAAAGGGCAAAGGATTTTCTTCAACAGGTTTGTTTTATTTTTTGCTTTTTTGTGGTCGCTACCCCGAGTGGAACAGGTTGATCGAAACATTTAACATTTTTCAACCTGAAGTACTATAAATTGTCGGTGTATTGGCTTTCCAAGATTCTCAAATTGTTTCGGTCCTTTTTCAAATGTTTAAACTGAATTCAAATTTTTAACTGACTTTACTAGAAACCCTAACTTTTTCAAGTCGAAACACGCTACGAATATTTTTTAAATTAGCTCGAATGACCTTGACTTTTTTTTTATAATTTTGCTCATCCTTTTAGACCTAGCTCATTTACTCAATGGCTTCCCAAATTTTTCAAAGTCTTTTTTTTCAGGAATGCGAATGTAACGTTCTCGATGGAATTATCAGCCCCGTTTCTGACCATTTCAAATCTAAAAAGCCTTCTCTAGCACCATCAATTCATCGTTTACGTATGTCTCAATTGGCTACAAGTTCTAGTGATTGGATTAGAGCGGATGGCTGGGAATGTCAAAGAAAAGAAGGATGGACACGAACATTGGAAGTTCTTAAATATCATAATATGCAGATGCTTAACAGGTTTTTTTATATTTAAGTGATTTTTTAATGACGCGAGCCTTTGAATTGTGTGTGAAATTTTCGTGGTTTTTGTGGTTATGTTTTTAAGGGTACCTTCTAAATCTAGGAAATGAGAAAGCTTAAATGAGTTCTCATTTATAGCCTGGATTTTATCTTTACTCGAGATCAATCTTGACTCGATCACCTGCGGCGTTGAAAATGGACGAAAAATGGCCTCTAGAGCTCTAAAATTCAAATCCAAAATTTCGGCTCTTTCATCCTCAATTATTTTTAATTATTAATATTTTTAAACTTATTTTTCAGCATTATCGTTTTGATGCAATTTTCAACAAGATACGATTTCACGATTTTGTGTTTCGCATTCGTGCAAAATATGAGATTTATAATTTAAGTTTTTTTATAATTTAATTTTTTTTATCAGGGGTACCTAAGGGTCGCTTTTCGAGGGTGCATCTTGTGTCATTCTCCTCTAAACATTTCTTTTTTGGGATGAGGGGGAGGTGGGAGGTCCTCATTTTCTTCCCCACCACCTTTATGGCGTCCCTTACAATTTTCAAATAAATTTTCCAATTTGGCGCCTTCGGCACAAAAAATTTTTCCCACCTTGGCTCCCTTCCCCTCGAAAAAAATCCTGGCTACGGGCCTGCTCTAAACATTTTTCGGGGTGAGGGTTTCCTCGTTCTCTTCCCCACTACCTCTATGTTCCTTATAATTTTCTAAAAAAATTTTTTCCCAATTTTAGGACCAAGAGAATCTTAAATTGTCTGTCTTTGATGTTAAACCAGTCCAATACGAAAAGCTTAAAACTATTTATTCAAATGCTTTGAAGAATCTCCCATTAGAGGAAGAAATGTCGCATGTTGACGACGACTTTTGAGTATTTTTTTTGATTTTTAATTTATTTACATAAATAACTGTCACATTTTTTTGAATTTTTAATAATACGACAGACAGTTTTTATGTATTTTTATTATTATTTGCGTTTTTTGCAGTAATAAAAATTGATAAAGAACGAGATTTTAATGTTTGATTCAATAATTGTTTTTATTACAATTTTTTTATTTTTTTGACTCTTTTTGTCTAATATTTTTTTTATCAGCAATTATCGTCAAGAATGTTGATTGGACGTGAAAAAGAATTTGAGTTGGTCTCGTCATTGATCTCAACAGCTTTAAAGGACAAATCTTCACTTTGTGTTTATATTAGTGGTCCTCCTGGGACAGGAAAAACTGCGACAGTCAAGGAGGTGGTTAATCATTTACAATGGAAGATTGATAAAAATGGACGTCACAAGGAGGTTTGAAATTAACTAGAGGGATGGGGTTTGGAGGGTCTTTCATATTTTTTGGGAGTTTTTGAATAATTTTCTTGTAAAAACGAGATGATTCTGACATGAGTTTATTTTTTATTTGATGAGACAAATTTTAGTAGTCTGAATTTTGATATTCGGAACTCGGATATTATTCTTGGAATTTAACACAAAATATTTTGTTAGATCCCCCAGGATAATTTTGAAAAATCTCATGAAAAATCAGGATTTCGCACAAGCTAATGTATGACTGTTCTCTTGCCGATCACCTATTTTGAAAGAAAATTTCAGTAAATATTCTAGCTCTATTCTAAATGCCAACTTAGCAATGTCATCAAATTTTTTAAATTAACCACCTATTGTGCTATTGTCACATGCCTTTAGACTCTTTATTTTCTCTGAATTTTTCAGTTTCATTTTGTTCCGATTGATTGTTTTGCATCATCTACAACTACTTCTCTTGCTCAACATATTTTGCTTCGACTCGAAGCTCAAACAAAAATATCAAATGGCAAACAAGTTTTGCAAGCTTTGGAAACCAAAATTTCTAAATGCAAAATTCCCATGTTTATTTATTTTTTAAGCTAATTAACAAAAGATTTTTTTGTAGTTTAATTCTGCTTGATGAAGTTGACAACTTAGTTTCGCGCAAAGATGAAATAATCTATGACGCTTTTAATTGGCCTAATAAATTTCCGGGACGTGTTATTGTTATAGGTATATTTTTAAGATTTTTTTATCTAAGTCTTGTGTCGTAGTGGACTTAGATAAACCAACTTTTCCCCAACTTTTCAGTCTCTTTCCCCCAACTTTTCAGTCTCAATTTAATATGAGTGTTGTTTAGGCATGCTTTTTTAAATCACTCTCATACTGACTTGAGGTAAATCTAAACCGCAATTTTTGTCTGGTAGTTGTACTACTTTGCTCACAATATTCAGACCTACTGATTGAGCTTGCATCACCGCTTACGACGTTTTTTTATAAACTCCCTCCAAACAAATTTCTTTTTTGTATCGTTATCTTTGAGCTGGAATCTAGGCGGGCGTCGATTTCAATAATCGGGAATTCCCGCGTATTTTCTTGAGGTACGAAGTCCAATTTCTGAAATCTTGAGGCTAGATCTGTACTTTCAATACTCCGTCACTTTCTACGGTTAATCTAGAAAAATTTAAAAAATGGATTTCATAAAAGGCTTGTTTATAAATAAGTTCCCCTCTCAAAAAATATTTTTTAGATATTTTACTTATCTCTATAAAAATTTAGGCATTTCAAACTCTTTGGACCTTACAGAAAGACAACTATCAAAAATTAAATTTTCTCATCCTCCAAAATCAATTGTTTTTCCTCCTTATACAAGTGAAATGTTAATTTCTATTTTAACTTTATATCTTAATGATATTGGAAACAAATCGAGCATTGATACAAAAGCAATAGAATTATGTGCAAGAAAGGTAGCTTCAATGACTGGGGATGTTAGAAGAGCTTTGGATATTGCCTCACAAATGATAGTTAATTTTGAGTGAGTTGAGATTTTGTAAAAAAAAATTTTTAGGAAAGCTTTCCGGGTTTTTTTCTTCCAATATTCCTTTAATATTTGTCTTTGGCGTTCCGTTCTAATAAAGCTAAATTTTGTATATTTTTCTCGGGGAGAGAGGTGAAATATCACCAGCAAGGATGTCACGGGTTGAGAAAATCGGGTTGGGGGTTCAAAATTTTTTTCGAGTTGGGTTCCGATCAAAAAAAGTCCGTGTATCAGGTGACTTCCCTGATCACCTAAATCTTTTTTGTTATCTGAATCCAAGCACTTTGAGACATAAATTTTTTGATGTAAATGAGAGATTTACCAAATTTTGCTGAACCAAGAATTTTCTTGCCAAAAAATTTTTTGTTCTACTTTAAAATTTTAAGTGAGGAATTGGAAGAGCAAAATTCTCCAAAAAATGATGATAAACTGAAGGAAGTTAACAATAAAATTGTTGATACGGATAAGAATGAGTTTAAAATTCAACGCAGAAATTCATTAAAAACGCCCTTAAAAGAAGAAAGCAAAGAAAATGTCCCATCTTTGAAACGGCGTCTTCCACAATCTTTGGCAAAGGGAGACGTGACACCAAAAAAGAATGCTTGCCGTGAAGTTTTGAATGCAATTAATAAGGTTTTTGTTTTATTTGGGAGGAATTGAACAAATAAAAAATAGGGATTAACCTGGGGGAATGGGTGAATGTCCAAGTTAATTTTTATTTTTGAGCATTGGTAACTTGGAAATTAACTTTTTCTTTTTTTGGGAGGAATTAACTATGTATCTCACTCATTAGTGCCTTGTTTTTCTGTCCCTATCGGGATAATTTTTCCTCTTTTCTGAAATGGGAAAATTTTCATTTTTTCCTCGCAATAATGTTCGGAGAAGGATGATTGAAAAACTGAATTTTTTGCTTGAGTTCTTTCAAAATTCCTATATTTTCACCTACGACGCTGAGAAAATTGAGATACCTATAAATACGAAAAAATTTTATTACGAGATGCCAAAGGTTCAGCACGTATTTTATTATAGCCTCCTCGAAATCCGACCCTCTGACTTCCATCCTTGTATTTGTACCAATTTAACTTTTTTTTTAGACAATGGCTTCACCTTGCCAACGTTCCAAACTTCCTCAACATCCACGTATTTTATTGGCTACATTAATGCGATTAATTTCTTCCGACACTGAAAAGGTTCTTGTAGCGCCAGATTCTTCACCTTTTCATACACCTCCGCGAACACCAAAACGATCAGAATTTGCAACACCTACTCGATTGAATCGAACTCCAAAGCGTTTATTTTCTACAAATAATGGCAAATCTGTTCAGGTTTTTCTTTTGTTTTCTTAACCTTGGGTTTTGATCAATTCATTTTTCTGTTTTGGGTTTTTAATGTGGAGAATTTTTTCGTGTTTACTTGTTTTCAGAAAGTTCTGTTTCTGACTTTTTATTAAAACGATTACGAAATTTTTGTTTTAAAAGTGATTTCGTGAACAATCTTACTTTAAATCTTAAGGTTTAATATATAAGTCACGGAACCGTTCTGAATCGAAGAACCGAGGATCTTCCGATTCAGTTCCCTTATCTGGAGATTTTCTAAGAATCGACAACCCTACTTATTGTCATCATTATTTTATTTAAAAAAATTTTTTTCTCTTTTTTAGAATTCTCAATTTGATTCTTCAAGTGTAACACGCGATCGTCTTTTTCAAGCCTATTTACTTGTTTGTGAAAAGTTGATGCTTCAACCATTAGCTACAGATGAATTGGATAATGCTTATGAAGTATTGGAATCTCAAGCTATAATTTCTTTAAGTAAACCAATTAATGGAAAAAATAAACAACAAAGAGTTTGTTTTATGGTATGGAAATATATTTTTATCAATTTTTAAAAATATTTATGCTAGCAACCAAAAGTCAGCTTGATATATCCTAGGAAATCCTCAAATATCCGGATCCGAAATTGAGCTTTTCTAAAGCAGTAAAAGCTTTTTCTGTGACTGAGGATTTTGGGAATAATTTTTCTGGAGGAAATGTGATTGTGGTGGATTATAAGATTTTCTTTTTAGTGCAATGGAGAAACTCAGGGAAGATTTCTCCAAGGAGTTCATTTAAATAAAAAAAATTTTTTCCGGGAAATTACTAATTAAAATGAACTATAGCAATAATAAAAATCAAAGTCAAAAAATTTGGAGTAATTTCCGCCTTTCTGGCACCTCCATTTTACCAGCAAAACTTAAATTAATTTTCTCTAGAACAATTTTAAAAACTTTAAGGTGGAAATGTCATTAGCGCGACAAGCAATTAATGACAATGAATTGATTGCATCAATTGAAGATATTGAATTATAAGAAAAATATTTATAAAAAACCAAACTGTACTAATTTTATTTTTTTATTTTTAAATATGTATTTTCATCGGAGAGGGAAGAGAAAGTGTGACTAGAATAATTTATGAAATTAAAAAAAAATATTTCTTAGGACAAAATTTCAATTTCAAAATTTATTCGGCACTATATGAAAGGAGGTCGATAATCGTTTTTTTTCATAACTTTTTTCTATTACTTTTTTCCTTCCTTAATTATGAATAATGGTCAGTCTTTTCTTCCTCGTTCAATTCCACTCTTTTACCTGTGGCATATTCAAATGAGGACAGAAAAGCACACACACACGGACAGACAAAACACGAGTGTCTGTTCGTGTCCGTCCGTGTTTGTCTGTCCGAGTACGTCCGTGTTTTGTCTGTCTGTGTTTTGTCTGTCCGAATCCGTCCGTCTTATGTCCGTCTGTGTCCGTCCGTGTTTTGTCTGTTCGAGTACGTCCGAGTTTTGTCTGTCTTTTTATCGACACAAAAAGAAAACAGGAGACCCTTGAAAGTATTAATTGCCTGTATTGAGTCATTCTCCTTTCCATTAATTCTTTTCTCTATCATTTCTTTTGATTATGCCACAGGGAATATAATGGAATAGAACAAGGAGGAAAATGCTGACCATTCTGTCATATCAACTAAGGAAAAAACTAATGGAAAAAAGTTATGAAAAAAAACGATTATCGACCTCCTTTCATATAGTGCCATTTATTCTTTCTCTTTTTCCTTTAACATTATTTTTGGGGAATTTACCTTTAATTTTTGAAAGAAATCTTTCACGTGCCTCACATTTATTTTAAAAAAATTTTCAGAAAATTTTCAAAAATTCACTTACAATTTCTTTCATTTTTTTGTCTTTCTTTGGCTATTTTTAACATTTATTTTTGATTAAAAAATTTGAAAAGAATTTTTTTTTGAATTATTAAATGTTTTTTAATCATTTTTATTTTTTTTTAAATTTATCTTTAATTTATTTTTAAATTAAAAGAGAGAATGAATGCTCGTGTTTTGGCAGGCTCTAATGTTGTTTTGATTCTTTGTGGTTCTTTTAATCCTCCAACTTATTTACATCTTCGAATGTTTGAAAGGGCAAAAGATTTTCTTCAACAGGTTTGTTTTATTTTTTGCTTTTTATGGTCTTGAATGGGCCGGGTTATCCGAAACCTGACATTTTTTAATTCAAGGTCCGGCGGCTTTCTATGGAAATTTTTCCATAAAAGGAAGATATCTAGTCTGACTATCCAGTTCTTTTGTGGACAACTGGTTAGTTTTTGCATTTGAGGCAAATATCAACTAATATGTAAGAGCATTTGAGCCGTTACTTGCAAATATTAACCTGTCGTGTACAACCCCTACTTTCCAAAATCTCTAAAATTCTGTCTTTTCTCAAAAGTTCGTGCTAAATTTAAATTTTTAACTGATCCAGAACCACTTACCGGCCCATTTCTAATCGCAATTTACTCAATGGCTTCCCCAATTTTTCATTTTTTCAAAATTTTCTATTTTTCAGGAATGTAAATGTAACGTCCTTGATGGAATTATCAGCCCCGTTTCTGACCATTTCAAATCAAAAAAGCCTTCTCTAGCCCCATCAATACATCGTTTACGTATGTCCCAATTGGCTACAAGTTCTAGTGATTGGATTAGAGCAGATGGCTGGGAATGTCAAAGGAAAGAAGGGTGGACACGAACATTGGAAGTTCTTAAATATCATAATATGCAGATGCTTAACAGGTTTTTTTTAATTTTTAAGTGTCTCATTAATGACGGGGACCTATTGATGTGAAATTTTTGTGCTTTTTTGGTTTATGTGTAAAATAGGGTTGAGTTCTCGTTTACGGTTTCATCCCCAAATATGTAAATTAAGAGGGACGTTTAAGGTAAATTCCGAGTTTGATTTTGTTGTATTCTCTCATTGATTTGTTGGCAAAGTTAAAAAAAAGTAATTTCACATATCGATAGGTTCCCTTATGAGTCTAACAATAAGATAAGCATTTTTTCCCAACAATGGGTTAAAGCTATAAGAGGTCGGATCTGGATCCAGACCTTGATTTTTCTTTGACCTGGATTCTATCTTGACTTGAGATCAAGAATCTGGGTTTTTTTAATTGCCGATAATTTACATCAGAGATCTAGCTGACATAAAAACATATTACCGACTCAAACATATTCGGGTATTTCCGATTTGGGGCTTTGGTTCTGGGTCTTGGACTTGTCCTTGGCATATATTTTGTCTTAAATTTAAAAAATTCATTTTTTAAGATATTCAAATCTCCAAAAACTTCGTTTAATTCTTCTCTGTGGAGCTGATTTAGTCGATTCTTTCACTCGTAAAGACCCAACAAGTTCAACTGGAAGGCTTTGGAGTATCGAACATTTAAAACAAATTTTAACTCAATATGGCCTCATAATTATTGAAAGGCGTGGGGCAACAGCGAGCAAAACATTAAAATCTGAAGATTTGGAATTTTTACATTCTCTTTTGGATAATGTGGCTATAATTGAAGAAGACACTTTTCCTAATGAAATTAGCAGTACAAAATTGAGGATAGCTGTACGGGCTGGACGGTTTGGATTTTTTCTTTTTTTGGTTCTTTCTTGGCGGAGAATGGGGCTCTTTTTCTAAATTATGCAAACAATGACCGCAAATTTTTTGTGGCAATTAGCGCTGGGTTGGGTTACTCTAAACCAGGTTTCCCTTCGACCCGATCCGAGAAACTTTTGAAATTCCGATTAGAAATCCTAAATTTTTACGGGAATTTTTTTATAAAAAGAATAAATTTGGCTTCATGGCCTTCCATAATTTTTAGGTGCGGCAAATTGTCTTTAGTCTTGTGAAATTTTGATGCCTTGCGGTAGTTTTGGGTTGTTATAGTCTTAGATCTGAATATAAAATACAACAAATACTAGTTACTAACATTTTCCTGGAGCTGTTTAACATCAAAAATTTGCAAGACTGGAGACAATTTTGGTTTTACACAAAATATAATTTTTTTTCCTTCCCGTTATTTCTATAATTTTAATTTTTTGGGGACAATGACTTTGAGAGATCCAAAGATTATTGTCAGCATAATAAATAGCTTTTGATACACCTTCTCCAAAACACCCATTTTAACGACCAAACAATTTAATTATTTTTATTATTTTTTTAAAGTTCAATTCGTTATTGTACTCCTGATTCTGTTGTAGAATATATTATTGAAAATAAATTGTATACAAATGATTGGGAACAACAACAATTAAATGACTTGATGAAAAACAACTCAAATGAAATCATTCAAAATAATAAGACGGACAATAATATTGTTAAAAGTTGATAGGTATTTTTATAGAAAGGTACCATTAACTAGTCTCAAAATAAAATATTTATCGCAGCCAGACCCTAATGTTTAAATACCCTCTAAAAGTGGATACACCCCTATTTAAGATACATTTCTTTACAAATTGCGTTGACCAATGGGTAGCTCTAAATATAACTCCGGACCAGTAATTCGTTAATTTTAGTTTATTTAAATCAAACCTTAATGTTGCGACTTTTAAGACGAGCAATCTCTTCGTCTTTTTGTGCAATGATTGCGTTTTTCTTCTTAATTTCATCATCTTTTTCTCGGATAATTGTATCTTTCTCTATAATTTGTTCTATCTGTTTTTCAGCCAGAAAGGACAAATAGAACAAATTATAGAGAAAGATACAATTATCCGAGAAAAAGATGATGAAATTAAGAAGAAAAACGCAATCATTGCACAAAAAGACGAAGAGATTGCTCGTCTTAAAAGTCGCAACATTAAGGTTTGATTTAAATAAACTAAAATTAACGAATTACTGGTCCGGAGTTATATTTAGAGCTACCCATTGGTCAACCAAATTTTTTAAGAAATGTATCGTAAATAAAGGTGTATACAATTTTAGAGGGTATTTAAACATGAGGGTCTGGCTGTGATATACATTTTATTTTGAGACTGGTTAATGGTATAATTTTTTGGTACTAAAAATGTCAATAATTAAGTCTAAAAATTTATTTTTTCGTAGAATATTTGTTTTGAATAATTTTTAGAGCTAATATTGACCTGTTTTTTTACCAAAATTTTAAATGGCATTTAACCATTCATTTTAATATATTGTATATTTGTAAGTATTTTATGTGATTTTTCTGACAATTAGAATAAGGGAAATATTTTTGAGGCTGATTTGAGAGGTATTTAATGAGAGCCCGGGTCGATTTAGATTTTTTCTTATTTTTAGACATGAAAATAAGGGATAAATTCTATAGTTGAAAGAATAATAGACCGTCTTCCGGTCGGTCTTAATCAAATTAGGCGAGTGGGTTGTGTTGTAGTGGTTAACGATTTCTTCTTTACTTAACGTACTTGTTGGTCCTTAGTAATTAATTCAGGTCCTGGTATTCGAACTCTCGAGAGAGCTGTATAAAGGTCGACCAATTCCGGAAGTGGGGGGGGGGTTCTGGAGCCTGGGACTGATGTTGTAGGGCTGGATGTTGTGCTCATCTCTAAGCTCCACCAGTTTTTCTGTAATTTTTTATTCTCTAAAACTCAAAATATTTTCTCTTTATTTTATTTAATTCATTTATATATGTATTTTTTTCTTTACAACGAACTTTTGTTAAAATTAAAAAATAAAATATTTCAAATATTTTTTTTCAGAAAATGTTCATTTACACATATTTTTCTTTTATTTTTTATAATTTATTTTAAGCTAAAAATATACTTATTTTTGGAAAAATATGCGCCCTCTAACAGACGATGAAACTGAAAAATTTTTCAAAAAACTTTCAAATTATATTGGTGACAATATTAAACTTTTATTAGAAAGAGAAGATGGAGAATATGTTTTTAGATTACACAAAGATAGAGTTTATTATTGCAGGTTTTTATTTCTTTTGATTTTAAATTAGAGGGACTCGCAAAATATGGGGGATAGGAAGGATAAAGTGGGGTTACTATTGGATTTTAAGTATGATTCTGTGGGTATATTAAAATCACTTTGGTTTTGCGACAGAAAATATGCAAATTTTTGAGAGACAAAATCAGGCGAGTCTGTCTCCTTTTTCCATCTTTTCTGTTACAAGACGCGCGCGATTTTTATTTAACCATGTCATAACTAGACTTATTCTATTACAGATAGACAAAGTGTGTAGGATTTTGGATCGTGTATTGTGTAATCCGTGACATTCCTGTTGGGTGGTACTCTTTTTGATTTGTTATTTCCAAAATTAATCATAAAACCAAAAATAAATAAAAATACTAAAAAATTTTATTAATCTATGGTTTTGTTTAAGGGCCCAGTTTCTCTTTTTATTTTTGGTTTTTAGTTAATTTTTGGTTTTTAGTTATTTCTGGTTTGTAGCGGGTCCCCATAACAGATCAAAAAGAGTACCAACAAGCAAATAGATGGGCTTGAACCCAATCGTTTCAAAATCCATCAGTAACCATTTTAACCAAGAATAAACTAAAATTTAGAGAAGAGGGGGTTATTAAATATGCTTGTTTTTGTAAAATAAATAGCAAAAAAGTACAAATACAACAATTTTACTAATTTAATCCAACCAATTGCAACAAAAAAATTTTTTTTCTAGTGAAAAATTAATGAGACAAGCAGCATGTATTGGACGTAAACAATTGGGGTCTTTTGGAACTTGTTTGGGCAAATTTACAAAAGGAGGTTCTTTCTTTCTTCATATAACGGCATTGGATTATTTGGCGCCCTATGCTTTGGCAAAAATTTGGTTGAAGCCACAAGCTGAACAACAATTTTTGTATGGAAATAATATTGTTAAATCTGGTGTTGGAAGGATGAGTGAGGGAATTGAGGAGAAACAGGTTTTTAAAATTTAATAAATTTGTAGGAGAACTTGTATGGGTTGGGGAGACCACTTTTGCGGACTTTTCCTCTTTAATACTCTATAGCGATCCTACCTCCGTTAGCACTGGCTCCATTGGGATTCGACTCTAAATAGAAATGTGATGATTTTGATATACAGTTGAATCTCTATGTAACTCATTGTGAATTTAATTTAGCTGACGGAAGAGGGATTAGTCATAGGGGAGAACATCCTACAGAGCTCTAAGTGTATACGTTAAAGGAAAATATTGAAAGGACAAACCGAATGTTGGAAATTCCGCAAAAGAGGGGATCACCCTATGGATTTCTATTTAAATATGTATGACTTAAATAGCGATTTAATGGTTGAGTTCTCTCCGTGATTGTCTAATTATTTTAGTAGATACACTAATTGAGCTCTGAATTTCTTTTCAATAAATATCTGATCTAGCTTTTATTAAAGAATAGGTGTTTATTTTTCGATTAGTCTTCTCAGGCGGGTTTGATAGGAAGGAGAATAGCTTCAATTAAAGTATCTGCTAGGGACATAGCTGACATAAAAAATAAATTCCTGTTTTCGGTATTGATTAAAATTTAAAAATTTATTTTCAGGGAATTATTGTCTACAATATGTCAGATTTGCCGTTAGGTTTTGGTGTGGCTGCAAAGGGAACAGTATCTTGTAAGAAAGCAGATCCTACAGCTTTAGTTGTTTTACACCAATCGGATTTGGGTGAATACATTCGAAATGAAGAGGGATTGATTTAATTAAGGGAAGTATTTTATTGTTATATTTATTTTTGTTGTGATGTTGGATTTTGCTCTGTCTTGGAAGTGGCTTTTGGAGGTGTTTCTCTTTTGGATAACGTGTCTATAATTGAGTGTTAGCGGTGGTTAATGGTGGCAATGAAGATGGCAAGTTTTGAGTAGTTTACAGACTCTAAGCTAACAGAATCCTCTCTCTCTCTCCACATAGAAGTGGTCCCAACACTTTTACTTCACCGTTTAATTAACTAGATTTGTTGGTTATGATCACTTCAAAGAGAAGAAAAAAGAACCCCAAGACTGTTGAAATTCCTTTAAGGTCTTTAAAATATGTATAGCGTAATCACTCTCCAAAATCCTTTTTCAAGACAAAGAGAGAAAAAATTGGGAGATATTTTAAGATTTTTTTAAAATTTTTTTGTGGATTGAAAATAAAAAATTTGTTTTTGGAAAAAATTTTTCTTTACAAATTTTTTTTTACTCATTAAAAATTAATTTTTTATCAATCATCTATCGACATGATTATCAATCTCAATAAACTTTTTTTTTGTTATTATAATTTTAATTTTGCTTTTTTGCTGACGTCAATACCCTCCCCCTTTTACCTTCTTAAAAATTTACAAAAGAAAAAGAAAATAAATTTTGTTGTTATCAAAAAAGAGATGATTATTAATAAATATGTTTAAACTATTTTTGTGACTTTTTCCCTCTTCTTAAAATCACCCAAATAACAAACAAAAATTTCTTTTAACATTAAAAAAACAGGAAATAAAAATTTTTAAGTAAATAAATAATTAAATTAATTTTATTTTTGCAAAAAAAATGCCTAAGACTCGAAATGATAAAAATGATCAACAAAGTTCTTCGAGACGAAAAATAAAAAGTGATCCGAAAGAGGTGAGGAGGGTTTAATTATTTTATGCTTGAGAATGAGGTGAGGAGTTTTTCTGGTTAAGTGGGTAAGAGCGCTGACTACACAATTCTCTTTGAATTTGGGGCAAGGGTTTCCGACTTTGTTTGAAGCAAAGAAGAATGAGTTAATGTGCTTGAGAGGAATCCGAAGGAATATGATTAGGGTTGGGGTTTTCGAGTCGGGCCGACGTTCGAGTCATTTTTAGGCCTCATTTTTGTCTGGCCGGCCCGACCTAGTCTTTTTCGGGCCAAAATTCGATGCCCGACTCGAACTTTCGGACCGGACCCCCAACCCTAAATTTGATGTACCTTCATATTTAAAAAACTCAGATTTATTAGAAATTTGGCGTTTTGTTTATTTTGTTTTTACATTAGGCAATCCTCAAAATGGTAATAGTAAAAATGATAGGAGACAAAATGGAACTAGGAGAAAACGCGACAATCTTATTGGAAACTATGGCTATTTTAGAGATGACTATTAATCTAAAAAAATGTTCAACAAACAAAACAAAAATGTGTCTTTCGTGTGACATTTTTGTCTTATTTTAACAAGTTCCATTTTGTCTTAATTTACCAAGAGTACCGTTTTGTCACAATTTACACGTGTGCCATTTTGTCGGTTTTTACACACAGTGTCATTTTGTCGGTTTTTACACACAGTGTCATTTTGTCGTATTTTACCCTTTGAGCCCTTTTGTTTTGCACCATTTTGTTTCATTCGATTTTAACATTAAAATTTGCCACGACTTTTAAAAAAATTTTTTTATTTTTTAATTTATTTATTTTTAGGGCAAGCCTAAGGAAGAAGGCGTTGTTACTTTAAACAACAAAAATAATAATTTGAATTCTACACCAAAAAATTTAGAGGAAAAAGTTCATCTTTTAATTGGAAGAAAACAAAGAACGCTTCATAAAAAAGAGAAAATTGCGTCTAAAAAAGGATCGAAAAGTGTTAGTGGACAGGAAATGATTCAGGTTTTTTAAGAATTTTTAAAAAAATTTTATGGTTGTTTATTTGTCTGTTCCTTCTCTTAATTATATACATAAGTTAATTTAGCCATTACAAATTAGTGCCTTTGTGGTGTAGTGGTAATGTCTTCGACTATTTTTATTTTTCTATTGGGGTTCGATTCCTCTCCTATCCCGGTGCCTAATGAGGGTTCTAACTTCCATAGAAAAATACGAGAAGGTACCTGCGTTACCACCAAATCACAAATATAATTTTATTTTTAAAATTTTTTTCATTTTTGTAGGGGTAAACCACACTAAAACTTCAAAAAATAATTTCTTAAAAATTTAAGGCTTTAGACGTTTATACAGCGTCTAGTAGCAGCACAGAAGAATGCGTAGCAAAATTACGTGCAGACCCGGAGAATGGACTTTCCCAAGCAGAAGCTACAAGACGACTTGGTTTTAGTGGATATAATGAATTTGAAGTGAAGAAAAGTGAATCTCTTTTGGGAAAATATTTTGAACAGGTTTGGGGGGTTTTTTGATAGAGTATTTGGTTTAAGGAAAGGTTGAGAATATTTTCGATTCAGTAATTTTTTTCGATAGGTAAGGAGCCGAAAAGTTCGTCGCTTTTTTTTTTTGAATTTTCTCCATTTTTTATTTTTTGGGGTTAAGTTGGGGAAGGACAATGCTCACTTAAGAATATATTTCCTCTAATTTCTATTTTAGTGTTAGCCTAACATGTAGTTTACTTTTGGACTAGAGCGTGTCCATCAAGGGCGTAGCCAGAGGAGTGCTTCTTGGGCTATAGCCCTCCTGAAATCGGCCCCCTGGCTACGCCCTTGGTGTCCATGGTGCCAATCTTGCTACAAGATCTTTCTCAATATCCCCCCAAAAAAATTTGAAAAAAGGAAAAAATTTTTTGAGCGGATAATGATCAAACAATCATAATTCCTTACGATTCTAAAGGACTTTTTCGGCTTCTTGCCCAACCGAAAATAAATTTAAAAAATCAAGCCCAACCCTAAAATTTCCTTCTAAATTCACTCTTGCTTCATTCACTCTTTCAGTTCAAAAATCCACTAATTTGCCTACTTCTTTCTTCTGCAATTGTTTCAACTGTTATGAAACAATTTGATGATGCCCTTTCAATTACTGTCGCTGTAATGATTGTAGTTACTGTTGGTTTTGTACAGGAATATAGATCTGAGAAAACTTTGGAGAAACTGAATAGGCTTGTGCCTCCAACTGCACATTGGTATTTTTTGTTAAATAGTAGAGTAAGGAGAAGGGAGATCCAGCTGTTTTGTAGTAGGCAGGGTTTTAATATCTATCGAAAGAAGGTTAAATCAGCGCCAGGTAGCTAGGTGGGTATTGAGAGTTGTCATTTATTAACTGCTATAAGGTCTCAGAATACGCCTGCTTGGGGGACTTTAGCCTTGGCGGTGATCGATAGGCGCTTTTGCTCACCACGGCCTGGTATTAATGTTTCGCCGAAAGTTCCGGAGACGGTCAAATTTGTGGTTCTGGCGAAACGCTAGCAGGTATGTGCTCTACCAATTGAGTTAACGAGGTGTTGTTTTTACCTTCTCTTTTAATAGATTTTAAAGTTGGAGCTCCTTCCTTAAATTATTAATTAATCATTTACGAAAGAACAAATTATAATTTACTATTGAAAAAATTGGGTTCTTTGCACATTTCTCTTATTATCTTAAACCCAAACATTTAAAAAAGCCTAATATATATTTTAATTTAAGTATTCGTGATGGAAAAAGTGTTACTTTTTATGCAAAAGAGCTTGTTCCAGGTGATCTTGTTTTGCTTAATACGGGTGATAGAGTACCTGCAGATGTTCGTATTCTTGAGGTTTTTTAGAGAATCTTTTTGAAAAAAATTTTTTTAAAGTCAATTCAACTTCAAATTGACGAATCTTCCTTTACTGGCGAAAACGAAGCGAGATATAAACATTCAAATTTAATCCCAGCAAATTCAAGAACTCCTCATGTAAATGGAATTATAGTTAATGGACATTGTAATATTGAATGTGATGGGGGGATTGAACATTTGGACAATATTGCTTTTATGGGGACTTTGGTTTGCTCTGGAAGAGGAAAGGTTTTATTTTTTAATTAAGCGGAATGTTTACCTTTATGAGCTTCCAATTTTCATTTTTTCCCAATTTTCTCTTTTGTAAGGAAGAAGGTGAGATCTACCTGGACAGATACGAGTTTTTAAGATAGACAAGGGTTTCTAGATCTGTTAAAGAGTGGAAGATGAAAGCAGCGCCTCGGTGGATGTGTTTATCACCAGAGCACCAACAACTGCCAGGAGGTTGTTGGCAGTATGTCTGTCCTGGGTGTATCTTTTACCTCTCTCCTGCCCCTGTTTTTCTTTACTTGTGGAATGGTTATCCAAAATTTATACCATAAATGTTATCATAAAACTTTGAAGTTTTTTTGTAATGTGTCTGATTGAATGGATGGCTTCTGTCTAATAGTAGGTACTTGTTAGAGGTAAAACAAAAGAGAAAATAGGGAAGAAATGTGTGCTCGTAAAAGTCTTTGTTTACTCAATTTTTTAATTAAGGGTGTCGTCATAGGCACAGGAGCTAATTCGGTAAATTTTACAATTAAAATGTCTTAATCTCTTATTTTTTTCAGAAATTTGGTGAAGTCTTTCAATTAATGCAATCTGAGGAATCTCCAAAAACACCACTTCAAAACAGTATGGATCAATTAGGAAAGCAATTGTCTTTTTATTCTTTGGGGGTTATTGGCCTAATTTTCTTTATTGGATTAATTCAAGGGAGGCCAGCGATGGATATGTTTACGATTGGTGTTAGGTATCTTTTGTTTTTTTCTATTGGGAAGTGGAGATGGGTTAGGTAAAAGAAAAGGCGGGTCGAGTTTAGGGTTGTGGTTTTGGGTCGAAAAAGGTCCGGGTTTCGAGTAACGTCATGAAGTTGATTTCAGAAAGGAATTGCTGATTTCATACCTCCAACGTAGTCCCCTTTTCTCATAATATTTTTTTGCATAAAATATAAATAGTATGACAGTTCGGAAGCTCGTACCTGGTTACAATTACAAGGGGAAAATAGGTAAGTACGAGCAGGGACGCACGAGAAAATAAATTAGGTCAAGTACGAGGAGAAAAATAAGGTCTGTACTAATTCCTAGTAGGAGCAAATTTTAAATTTCCAACTATTGGGTATAACTTGATTCTAAAACTTACGGATTTTTGTTTGCATACGGGAAAAGAAGTGATCTTCTTTTTTTATTTTTCAACATAATTTTTCTCATTTCTAGTCTTGCTGTTGCTGCAATTCCTGAAGGTCTTCCAATTGTTGTAGCAGTTACTTTAGCTATTGGTGTTATGAGGATGGGGAATCGAAATGCTGTAGTTAAAAAATTGTCAGCTGTGGAAACCCTTGGATGTGTAACGGTTATTTGTTCTGACAAAACTGGAACTCTTACAAAAAATATGATGACTGCTTGTGTTGTTATAGCGGCAGATGATTGTCAGGCTGAGGTTTTTTTCAATTTTAATTTTTTCTGTTTAAAAAGTCCACAATTTTAGTCCGTATTTTGACCGTTTTTGGCAATTTTTGACACATTTTGACCATTTATAAAAAGAAAAATTAGGGTTTTAGAAGGGTGTCGACGGGTTTTTAGAATATTTTAAGAATTATTTAGCAAAATATTCTTTAATAAATCCTTTTTTTCCAACCGAGGCTGGGGGGAGGCGTTGGGCCTCTAGAGTTGGTAGTACAATTTATAGGACGCTCCAAAACACCTTCACAATAAAATTCTCTTTTTAACAAATATTAAAGTATAAGGTAGGGAAGAGTAGACCCACTTAATTCCTTGGTCGGGAATTTAAACTGAAATTGAACGAAAAAATTCTACTGGGTCTATCTTGCTTTATATAAGTCGCTAAAATGGACGATAAGTGTTCAATAATCGTCCTTTTATGATAAATTATAGGACTTGGCGATAAAACTTGCTGACTTTTGATACCATAAAATGATAGGACCTTAGAATTTATAAATTTTCAAGGTAACGGGTACTGGTTATGACCCTTCTGATGGAGATTGCCGTCTGCAAAACGGAGAATTAGTTTCTGGAAGTGAACGTCACCCTTCCATAGCTTGTGTCATCGAAATTGGCTGTATTTGTAACAATGCACAATTGGCAAATGGGACAGTTATTGGACAACCAACAGAAGGGGCTTTAATGGTTTTGGCGATTAAAGTAAGAAAATTTTGAAGTTGAAAAAAAAATTCTTTTCTTTAAAATTCAGACAAATATGGATACTTTATGCAATAATATTCGACGTCTTCATGAAATTCCTTTCACTTCTGATAGTAAATGGATGGCTGTTCAAGTAGAACAATTAAATAAGGTTTGTTAAATATTAAATCCTACCCCCCCCCCCACCTTTGGATAAGCGCCTGAATGTTTGGAAGCTCGTATCAAAAATCTCGGGGGTAAAATAGGCAGATGAAACATTGGTAAATGTAAGATCGGATTAATTACGAGTACGAGAAAAATCGAAATTTCCAATAACTGTCTTTAAGACACGATGCTTGACTTAGTTAAAAAAATTAGCCACGAAAAAATTGAATCTAACAGCTCTTATTAAAATATTTCTTTAGCCAGGCGAAGTTGAAACATTGGTAAAAGGAGCAATTGACAGAATTCTAGATATTTGTATTGGCTATCTGGATAATGGAAATATAAAAATGCTAATGACTAGAGAGAAGTATGATCAAATAATTCAAACAGCTAGTGGTTTGGGTCAATCTGGACTTCGAGGTTTTTTTGAAAAAATTTTTTCTATCAAAATTTTTAGTAATTGGAATGGCTAGAGGTTCAGATATGCGTTCTCTTTATTATGCTGGACTTGTTGGAATACTAGATCCTCCTAGACCTGGATGTCGTCAATCGATAGAAATTGTTCAGTCAGCTGGAGTTTCTGTAAAAATGGTGACTGGGGATGGGCTGGAAACTGCTACAAGCATTGGTATTCTTTTCAATTTTAAATTCATTTTGAGTTTTCATTACTTTTTGTGTCCAGTAAAAAGGAGGCAAACTAAAAGGGAGGCTAAAGTTTCAGATTGTTAGAATTTTTTTCTAATAAGTTAGCTAATATCTTACAGGTCCTGCAATGCAGTTAATCGTAGTAGCAATTGCTATACCAATACGGGCGCACCCGGGCGGGTTTCTAGTGCTATATAAGTGGAGTGCATTAAACCGTTGGTGTTCCGAACACAATTAATTTAATTTACGATGAATAAACTATTCTGATTTGGACTTTTGATAGCCATAAAAAAGAGTTGTGTTAGACTTTTGTCATTTTACCTTTCAATAACCAAGAAATCATTCAATTTTATAGCAATACAATGTATTTCTCCCCTTGTTAGCCTGCTAAAATTAATGAAAGCTCTCATAAAAAATAATAAAATTTTAAAGTCTTTTTCTTTACTTCTTTTATTACCTAAACTTTTTTCAGGTATTCGTCTTGGGCTTCATAAGCAAAACGACAATTGTCTTTCTGGTCCTCAAATTGATGATTTAAAAGATTCAGAATTGGAACAACTTATTCAAAGTGTTACAATATTTTATAGAGCTTCTCCTAGACATAAATTACGAATTGTTAAAGCACTTCAAAATATTGGAGAAGTTGTGGCAATGACTGGGGATGGAGTAAATGATGCTGTTGCACTTAAAAAATCTGACATTGGAGGTTTCTTTAGAATTTTAATTATATAATATGAACATGATTTAATTAGAATTAAGGGGCAAGGTTTCCTTAGAATTAGGATCACGTCCAGGAGAACTAGGAGTTGAACATCTATGTAAATTATACCTTTCACAATCAGATGGCCAGCAAGGGGGGCGTATCTAGGGGAATTGCGTTTGGAGTGCCAAAATTTTGACGTGCACCCCATAGCTCCCAAAATAGGCTCCCTGGATACTCCCTTGCTGGCCAGTGATTTGGGTTGATTTAGGATGTAGCTACGTTTTTGAAAATTTGGTGGGAAAGCCGTCCAAGCGGGTCTATTTTGAACGTAAGTTAAGGTAGGGACTTAGGCAAGGGCGTATCCAGGGGCTGGGGGGGGGGGGGGGTTAAAGCCCTCTTCCCCCGAAATTGGGGGAAAGGGGACCCCCCCCCTCTCCTTTGAAATCGACTCTTTGGATACGCTTTGGACTCGTGTTCCTTTCAAATTATGATGGCGATTGAGGGTGACTAGAGAGATAATTTCAGACTTCGATTTTGCTTTCTTTTCTTTCCTCACATGAATTTTTCTAAAATTTTTTCTAGAATTTTTTTTTCCAGTTGCTATGGGAGAATCAGGAACTGATGTTTGTAAAGAAGCTGCTGATATGGTTTTAATAAATGATGATTTTAGTACAATAAAAGCAGCAATTGAAGAAGGAAAGGGAATATATCACAATATTACAAATTTTGTAAAATTTCAATTGAGCACGTAAGAAAGGGGAAGGGGGAGGTTAAAATAATTTTTTTATTTTTTTGTAGAAGTGTTGCGGCATTGTCTCTCATTGCAATTTCTACTATTTTTCATTTTGAAAATCCGCTTAATGCAATGCAGATTCTTTGGATTAATATAATTATGGATGGACCTCCAGGTTTTTTTTAATTAATTTTATAGTTATTTTTTGATACCTTTTCGTTAAAATTAAAAATAATTTACCTCAAGTAGACTGGTTCAAGTTCAGTTTTAAAAACCCAAATTTTTGATTTTTCGTCTAAAAATTAACATGTTTTTATGAAAAGATGAAAGCCGAACATTTTCGAAGAAATTTTCTTTTTTAAAAAAAATCGTCCCAATGAAACCAGTATTTGGCTAGAATCGGAAACCAAACTTTAAAAATAGGACTAATTAAAAATTGGGTTGTACCCCAACAGCTTGAAAGCGCGTTTTTCAGGGTGCGTTGGAGTATGACTGACAACATAACGCTAACATTTTGTTGTCATTCATACTCCAAAGAACCCCGACAAACGCACCCTCAAGCTGTCGGTATACAACACTAATTAAAAATTGATGGTACTGGTTAGGGGTGGTCAACTGCCCTAATTTCAAAATAAATTTTTTGCCAAAAAATATTTTTCGGTTCCTTGAAATTCTTTACTTTTGATTATTTTTCTCAAAAAAAAATTTTTTTTAATTAAGCCCAAAGCCTTGGTGTTGAAAACGTTGATGCTGACATAATTAAACAGCCACCGCGTAATGTGCGAGAGCCGTTAATCAACCGATCACTCATTATTAGCATAATATCTTCTGCAGCAATAATTATATCTGGAACACTTTTTGTATTTTATAAAGAGGTTTTTTTATTTTTTTGAGAGATCTTGCCCAGTATTAAATTGTCTTGACAAGACCCTAGACCGGGTATTTTAGAGATCAAGGGTCCAATTTCCTCAAAATTTTCCTTTTTTTGACCCTTCTACTCTTCCTTTTCTTCTACTTGTTTATTTCTGTTCCGTCTTCTAATCTTTAAAATGCATGGAGAGTCCATCCCTACTCTGATTGTGAGTATCATATGAGTGTGTATGTTCAAGGATGTCACGGTCTTACAAGGAAACATTTTGAACTGTTGTGAAAATTTTGTAGTTTTTTTTGCACCATCGTATAGAGCAGGGTCGATAACCTATTGCCAATTTTTGGCTTTTCTTCCCCTGACTTCCATTTCGAAAAGTTATAGGGCTTTAAAGGTTTTGAATTTTGCAGCGGTCGAGTTCAAAATGTTTCCTTGTTAGCAAAAGGGATCGGGTTTCTGACTGAAAAAATTGATCAGGTTTCGGGTATTAGGCTGCTAATAAACCGTGGCATCCCTGGTTAAAGTTAAGAAAGATGCTTGGCCCTACGACTTCATATTACCGGAACAGTCCGGTCTTTGATTAAAAAATTTTAAAATTATTTCTAGATGGCAGCAGATAATAAAATAACTCCTCGTGATACAACAATGACATTTACTTGTTTTGTTCTTTTTGATATGTGGAATGCTTTGAGTTGTCGAAGTAGTCGAAAAATGATTTGGGAAATTGGACTTTTTGGGTATTTTTTTTTAAAAAAAAAATTTAATTAAATAAAATTTTTTAAGAAATCGAATGTTTTGCCTTGCATTAGTTGGCTCTCTTTTATGTCAATTGGCGGTTATTTACTTTAAACCTTTGCAACATATTTTTCAAACAGAAGCATTAACTATTTTTGGTATTTAAAATTTAAATTATAAAAAAGTCTTTGAGAGATAATTTTTGGGGGGAAAGCATTTTTAGGTATCTATGAGCCTTATTTTTCGGCAAAATTTTGTAAGTAACTAGCTATTAACTATTTAAAAACATTTGCTAGCCGGGTGTTTCAGCATTCGCGTTTTTGCTACCCGACCTTTTTAGCGTCTTACGTTTGGTTAGAATTCAATTCTGGTAATTATAAGCCAGCTCTCTATTCTTGCTGACCCTGACCTGGAATAAGATGTCAGGGATCGAAGGTACGAACCTCCGTAGGCAATCGGTTTGAAGGATTCGGATATTTGGACCTAGAAGGGATAGATATATCCGCAAATTTAGTTCAGATATCGGATCCGGATATCCACGGATTTATCCCGGGGATTTCTCAGAATCCCCCACCCAACCTTATTGAGTATACCTGGTTGTAGCTTTAATCCTTTTACAGTTTTCTTAATTTTATTTGCTTTTTTTTCAGATTTATTATTTCTTCTACTTCTCTCTTCAACAGTTTTCTTTTTTAATGAAACCAAAAAATTTATCCAACTTCAAAGGCAAAGGCGAAATCTGCAAAGAAAACATTCCACATCAGATTGTAATTGTTTGGGAGAAGCTTGTTTGGGGACTCAAACAATTTAGAAAAATGAAAAGTTTTAATGCTCAAAAGGTGTTTTTTAATGTTAAAAATAATTTTTGTTGATTTTTAAAATTATATATTAACAGTCAAACCTCCTTTTTAGATACTCCCTTTGGGGTTGGAAAAATAGTTCTTTTAATGAGATGTACCTTAAATAGAGGGGTATCTTATATTGAGGGGTACATTGAGAGGGTGTCTTATAGTGAGTGAGGTTTCCTTAACTAGCAGATGTCTTTTAACGAGGTGTACATTAAATAGAGGGGTACATTATTGTTGTGTCTGCACTGTTTATTGACATCATTGATGTGTTTTCTCAACAAACATATAAAATGAGAGTCCAGGTCGAAACACAACCAAGTGTGCCACCATTCAACACGATGATCGGTTCTTATTAATAAATTTTTGCATTCTATATGGGCGTACACAAGGCTTATATAATAGTGTGTGTATCGTAGCTAGAGGGTATCTTAAATAGAGGGTATCTTTTAAGTGAAGTCTTAACTAGAAGGTATCTTTTAAGCAGCTACCCCACCCAATGGCCTATCAAATTTTAAAAGCCGTATATTGAATAGAAGGGTTTATCTAGTATTGAGAAGGGTAATTAAAAGTGAGGTTTTGAATGTATTTTTTAATTCTGTGCTTATTTTACATTGTTGCCTGACAATTATATATTGTATATCTTATTTCTGTGTAAATTTATTTTCAAAAGAAAATTTTTAATTGTCTTTAAATGAATCAAAAATTTTTCCAGATTTAGTTTTAACTTTTTTTTCCTTCAGAATTTTTTATTTTAAAAAAATATACGGCCTTCTGTTCACTTTAAAAATTTAAAGTGCCCCCTAAATTAATTAATTAAACAGTCACATCAAAAAATATTTTTTATAACTTTATCAAGCATAATCATGCATAAATTTTTATATCAAAAAAATTATTTCTTGTTTTGTTTGACGGTTCGATAAATATTTTTAAAAATATTTTTGTTTTCCGATAAAATAAAAAAATACGGCATGAGACTGGTATGTAGTCCATAGAAAGTTTATGGGTCCTAAGAATTTACAAGAATGTGTATAATTCTGTTATAAACGTTTGCACTCGGTGTCGCGCTAGCGCGGGTTCGTCCCCCTCGGATTCGTCCCATAGAATACAACGAACCCGCGCTTTTTACCCTATGGGACGAAACCGCGTTGGGACGAAATTGAGTGGGACGAATCAGCACTTTTTGTACAGTGGGACGTTCTCGCGCTTTTTGTTCAATGGGACGAAACCGAGTGGGACGAATCCACAGTGCGCCGTTATAAACACGTCTTATTATCTAGTTGACAGGCTCTGTACTGCCTCAATATTTAAGATTTACTTTAAAAATTAGGAAAAACGTTGAATAAGCATAATCTTGATTCTTGACTCAAGAAGTGTGTTAATAAAAAGACAAACTGATAAACTTCAATAATTTTTCATTTTATTAAATTTTATACCAAACATGTCATATCCAGCCGGAACTTACGGTAGGGGACATATCAGTCCCGCCATTTCAGTCCCGCCGTTTCAGTCCCGCCATTTCAGTCCTGCCATTTCAGTCCCGTGCCATTTCAGTCCCAGCCATTTCAGTCCCGCCGTTACAGTCCCCCCTATATGGGGACGTTTCAGTCCCCAATGATTTTTATTGTTGTACCAATGATTGTTATTGTTTATTTTTTTGTTTTAAACATTTTCTAAGTTCTTTAGGTGGTCTACAACAACAATTAGCAATAACCAACAACAATTAGTAACGAAAAAAATAATTTCTAATGGAAAATCAAAAAATTTTTTAAAATTCTTAAATTTCTTCAATTTTTTTAAAATTCCGGACTGCGAGAATTCTACGCTGAATGGAGATGTTTCTACTACTGACACATGGTTTATTTTTTAGCTTTTTGAATTTTTTTTATTCACCCCATTTCAAGAGGGAGCTATAGTATATTTTTAGGGGAGCATATTTTTAAGTTTTTTAATTCAAGGCAATCCAGTCCTGGAATTGTTTTTATGTGTGTCGAGCAGATTGCTGCTGAGGTGATTCTGCTGACGGGGATTTGCTAAGACATCAGGCACAGCCTTCAACAACCTAACCCAAACGGCCCTCTCTAGGGCCACAAATCTAATAAGTGAAACGTGGCAATGACTTCTATTTATTTTTTTTTGATAAATTTTTGTTTATTTGACTCATTTTTTAAAAAATTTTGTTGCTTGGAGAAAAAAAGTCGAGACCAAAACTTCACCCTAAGCCAGAAAAACCCCAAGAAAAGCCTAGAATTAAGACTCGGCAGCTTTTAAGATGTTCTTTGCGTGATAAAATGATTATTTTCTATTTCATTTTCTTATTTTTAAAGAATTTTTATTTATTTTTTCGCATGGGGACTGAAACGTCCCCATATAGGGGGGACTGAAACGGCGGGACTGAAATGGCTGGGACTGAAATGGCACGGGACTGAAATGGCAGGACTGAAATGGCGGGACTGAAACGGCGGGACTGAAATGGCGGGACTGATGTGGGATGTTCCGGGAACTTACGTTCACTGTCTCCGCAACTAATCCCCTTTCACAGGCACTCAACCGACTCTTACACTCAATCGGCTACACTTAACTGGCTTGGCTTCATTGCCCGCTCTCGCCGGGCAACGCTCAACCGACCAAGAGGTTTTGGGCCACTTGGGCGCAGACTCATTTAAAATAGAAAAATTTTCAAGCCTTTGCGCCTAAATAGACATTACCAAGTTTTTTGTCCTCGGTATTTGTTTGGAATTAGCACTTTTGCGTTAAAAAGCTGTTGTTTCTTTTTGATAGATTTTTTTAATTTTTTCATTGTTGTCCGACTTAGTTTCTTTGGCGATGTATATTTGGATGACTCATTTCCTTATTTTTTAGTCACTTTTTCTTTTTCTAATTCAATTTAGAGGTCAGTATGAGAGGGGCCCGAGGGGGATTTTACGGGAGCAGGTCCCGGAATCTCGGGGTTTTAAACGCCAAACTGGATTGCTGTGATTTACAGGGATTTAAGGGAGTAATCCTGCGGAGTCCCCAGCCCTTCCACACGGCATTTTGAACTTCAGTTAAAGGATTTTGGGAACGCTACGATTTTACTTGGGAGGAAACACGTGCTAGATATGGCCACCTTCGAACATTAAAAAATTTTTTTTACCCACCTCTACTTTAATTATTTTTAAACTCAACTTTTTTTTCAAATTTCAGACAAGACTTAAAAATACCAAATGAGTTCAAAATCATCCAATGATACCAATATTTTTGCTAATAGCTTGCCTGCTGTTTCGTGTACCACAGAGTATTTTTTGTTTTTTTTTTTTTAATTTTTAAATTTTTTCTCAAGTATTCGTTCTCAACTAAATTGTGAAGAAGAGGATGTTGCACAACAAATAATACCTTTGGATGCTATTGGAAATTTTCTTGTCCTTCTAAAATCTGGAAAAGTTAAGAAAATTGATGAAAGGATTGATGGTTCTACTTGCACTATTGCAGACTATAAAAGACATGTTAAGGTTTGGTGTTTAGTTTTTTTGGGTTAGGGGTTAGAAAATGTGTTCTGTGGAGATGTAGGGGTCGTTTGAAGTTGGTTATTTGTTCTGAGGGTTCTAAAATATTTGTTTTGGGTTCTACAATTGAGTTGACGGATCTGAATATCTAGTCCGAAAAAAGTGGATGTCCAAAGATTTGTTTCGGATATTGAATTCATAAATTACCCAATATCCACAAACCCTGACCCTCATCATTTGTTAGTGTAGGAAGCTCATCAAAGTTTAGGATAATTTTCTATTTATAAGGAAAGGGTTCGTTGAATTTGAAATTTATAACATTAAGTAAGCGGGGGAGTGTCCAAGGCCTAGTGGTCGTAGTCTCGAACACTAAAAATGTTATGGGACATTAAACAAATATTGAAAATCAGAATGAATTCTGTAGTTAAATTTTGGCCAGGGAATCTAGTCGGAAATTTATTGTCTATAACCTTTTAAAGATTGGCCGATATTTCAAAAGTGGTAGTTGTCCTAACAATAAGCAAAACTCGTTTTTTAAATTTTTATTTTCAAATTTAGCTTGCCTGCAATCAATTTTTTGGGTCAATTATTGCTCTAGATGAACAATTAGTGTGTGCCCGTCGTGAATATAATGGGCAATTCCATATGGCTAATATGCTTACTAGAGTTGTCGATCTAGAAGATGTTTTCCCTGTTGAATTTGCGGTTGGGGAAGAAATGATTTGGCGGTGCTTCCTTTCCTCGCAGGATTTGCAACGGGCGCCGGAGATGAAAAAGTTCCTCATGGCTTTGAATCAGAGAAGTACTGAAAGTAGAAAATCGGTTGGGATTTTTTAAATTATTTTTTTGCTTTAATTTAGAATAGGGAGAAGTTCTATTGGGAATAGTTGACTTTAGGGGTGGCGTTTTAATTTCCTTTTTTTGGGCAGTACTGGTTGTAATTTTAGAGAGTAGTTTGGGGCAAAATCGATTTTCCGGAGTCGGATTCAAATTTGTAACTAGAGTTGCTCCGGATCTGGCCCGGATTCTTTCGATTAATCAAATTCGGAAATAAGTCTGAACTCGTGAAGGGACGCGAATTTGGGACTCGAACTCCAAAAAAATCCGGCCGGATCTGGTCCGGCGCCGCTTATGTAGTAGTGTGGAATTGAGAAAGCACCCTCTAAAAATTTTCTATATTATTTTAAGACGAGAATTAAATTCCATCCTTTCCATTTAATGGCTTTTTTCCAGGAGTTCGGGCTCTGGGTTTAAGGCCTTTTAGCTTTTTAGGCTTTAGGCTTCCGTGGTATCCTGGGCTTCTTGCTTTTAAAACACTTTTAATTTTTTTGTTTTTACAGGACTTTGCAGCAGCTGTCATAGACATGAATATCATGCAAATGTTTGTTGAATTGAATGTTTTGATTGCTGCAGATCGGAAACGTCCACCTTTGAATAATGATTTTGCTTCATTTTCTTATGCTTATTTGTTGCTAGAACGGCTTCGAGTAATTTTTTTATTTTTAAAATTTTTGAAAATTCTTTTTTTTAAAGCTTTTACTTCGCCCACTTAAACCTTATTCGCCCTTTGACGGCCGTCTTTCTGGAAAATTTAGGACAGAAGAAGTTGGGGACTTGATGCATGTTACTTCTTCAATATCTAAAGATGTGATGAATGTGGAATCTGCTAGACGTCTTTCTTTCTACCGATGGCCTCATAAAGACTTTAAGTAAGAAAATTTTTTGGAATTTGATTTTAATTAAAGGTTTTAGAGGCTTTTTTTGGGAAATATAGAAAAGAATTTTTCCATTTTTTCTAAAATTTAGTTTAGGTAGAGGCAGGCCCGTAGCCATTATTTTTTTCTGGGGGTGGGAGGGGGTGTGGCAACTGGGGAAACTCACCCTGACTATGGGCCTGGACAGAGGTAATCGGGATTAGGTAATAGCACTTCTGTTTGTGTCCTATTTTTCTGTTTAAAATTTTTTTCATAACCCGTTTGCCTTTTGGATTATTGGTTATAGGGTTGCCGGTTCAAAACCTAATTGAAGAAGAAAAGATTTTTCGTTTAAGGAGATTTTCATTCTTAAGATCGGTTTTTGATATTCGAAGATTTTTCAAGAACTTTAAGTAAGAGAATTTTTAAATTAAAATTTTGGGACTTTGGAGGGCTTTTTTTATTCTTGGCCAGATTAAAAAACGCCCATGTCTTGATACCTGATCTATCGAATGAGCCCGGTCTCGATTGTTTTTAGGTCGACACCTCGCAACCTTTCCTTGTTAGTATTTTTTGAGTCAAGAACTGACACCCTTAATTCCTATGTCAATCATAAAGACAAATTTCTTCGTCTTAAGAAAATTAAATAAAAATTTTTTAGATATACATCCTCGTCCAGAATGTCTGAAGCTGGTTTTTATCTTCAACCTAGCGGTGATGGTGATGATAAAGTAATGTGCTTTGCCTGCTCTATTTGCCTTATTAGCTGGGAACAGGATGATGACCCTTAGTATTTTTTTAGAAATTTTTTTTTCAAATTTTTTTTAAATCAAAAAACAGTCAGGAACACGAGAGACACTCTCCCTCTTGCAAATTTTTGACTGCTCCACTCTCTTCCACAAACATTCCTATTGCTGCTACAATGTCAAGTTTGGCGCCGTTAAAATGGAATGACGAAATTGAATCTCAACAAAAATCTACTATAGAAAATTTATGTGAAAATTTAATTATTGGTACGATGACAACAAAGTCTTTATGGTTTGCATTTGCTGATCCTTCGAGTAATAAGCCGCAAATCAATCTTATACATTTGGACAAAGTTGCACAGGTTTCTTTTTTGGGATAATATTTGGATTCATGTTAGAATTCGAACCATGGGACGGACCGGGTTTTGTATCCTATACCACGGAGATTTTGTTATTTTGATCCGTTTTTAGGGGGTTTACCCGTAAGACTCCATAGATAGTGTAAAAGAAAAACCCTAGATATAGAGCCCGGCAGCGTAAAGACTTTTCTTTATTTGTCTTTTGCATCCTATCAATCAGAAAAGGATTTTGAATTCAGTTTCGATTAGCTAGCTTGTTGTTAGACCTCTTCGCTCAAATCCTAGCTAAAAGTTGAATTTACTATTCCTTTTCTGGTCACAGGCAACTAAAAGGAATTTTGGGAAAAGGAGAATCCGCTGGGCATAAATTGAATTATAACCATTTTTATTTTCTTTTTTAATCTTTTATTAATTCTAGGCTGTTAATACTTTAATTGTTGACACTTTCGACCCTTTTCTCTCCAATGCCATTGGATTTAAACCTCCAAATATACCTGCAGCTCCACAGTCTCTTCCTCCAATTGAAACTCTTACAAATGTAATTGTTGCTGCCGCTCAACAAAGACGAGTAACTTGGAGCGATGAGCCAACAGTAATGACTATAGAACAGCAACAACAACCTTTGGAACGTATTCTTTTGCTTGACCAAAATATTGCGGAAGAGGCTTTTGAGGATGAAAGAGAAGAGGAAATGGTCTCTCCTGGATTAATTGAAGATCAGGAAGATGAAGAATTGAAGCAACATCAACCAAGTCCTCATGTATCCATTTCTCCTGAAAATTTTGATAATCGAATTGTTAAGGTTTTTTTGGAAGGGGAGTTTCTTTGACAAAAAAATTTTTTTAAAGATCACAGCAATCTGTTCGGCAGGCGTTGGAAATGATTCTAGTGATAATCGAGAAGATTCTAGACAACATCTATTGGGTGATTCGACTGATGCAATGGATTGTAACGTTGAAATGACGTCTAATTCAAGCAAAATCACTGCTGTTCTTTTTGTTGGAATTTCTGTTGATGAGGTTTTTTGTTACTTATTATTGTGTGCGGACATATCGGGATAGATGTGAGAGAAAAATAGCCTCTTGCGTGCCTTGGGTCAAAAACGTCTTTTCTTAACATGGAACCATCGTTTACTGTGACTAACTTTGAACGGCCATAACTTGGTTCAAACTAATTTTGCTAGGAAACCCGCAAACAACAATAGTAAATAGAGTGTCCTCTATCGAATGGTACCAAAAAAATATCAAATTTGTAATCACAGTAGTGATGCTCGGCAGAAGAAAAACCCGGGAAACGGGAGTCGGGTCGGGAAATGACCTCGGGATTGGGATACCCGAGCATCACTAAGTCAGAGTAAACGATGGTTCCTAGTCAGTAGGGCAATGTAATAGCCAAGAATCTTTGGCCTTAGATCTCAAAACCTGTAGTGTAATTGTGAAGTGTTTGTCCTGTTATGTCTGCATTCCCTAATTATTATCAACAACAAATATTTTTTTTCTAAAGACAAAAATCCAATCGAATAATCGAACTTGTATGACAGAAGAAATTAATGCCATGAATGTTATAAATTCCTTAACTGTTGGTGGTGGAGATCAATTTATTGCTAGTAACACAAAAACTGCGGCTCGTTGCCCCTTCTTGCTAGTTTACCATTTGGCTGAAACTTTAATTCCTGATTGTGAGCAACAACAAAAACAGTCAATAGATATGGAAGAATCTAAAAATAATAATAAAGATGATGAGCCTATGGAACAAAGTATTATTGAGGATTTAAATGAAGAAAGGAATCAAGACTATTTTTCACAGGAAACTGCAGTTTTATGTAAGTTTTTTTGGGTAGATTTATTGAAGGGGTTCTTTGATAACAATTGTTTTTCACTGGGCTTTTTTATTTTTGGAAAGTGTCCGATCGAGATGTGACATTCAATGATATTTATCTTTCTTAATCAGGGTTGAGGTTTTTGAGTCGGGCCGACGTTCGAGTTATTTTTATCGGGCGTCGGCCTGACCGAGTCTTTTTCAGGTCAAAATGTAATGTCCGACTCGATCTTCTTGACCGGATCGGAGCTACAACCCTATTCTTAAACTTAATACAGCGTTTGGAGAGGGTCTAACCCAAACTTTGACATTTAGATTTCAGTAAAGACCCTCTTTTAAACTTCTCGATTTTGCCATATGTATTCGATTATTCCAACTAATCTTTAGGTCAAGGGATTTTGTTGATTTTGAGATTAGTTGTCAAAAGACTTTTTACATAGTTATTTATTTCAATTTCAGTGGCAGAAACTAAAAAACTTCAAGAAAAAACGGCAGCTTTTAGTGCTGAACTTGCCGAATTTCTCAATTCCGAATACCCATATAAAAAACCAGCTTTAGCTAAATACATAATTGATTCCCAGCTTAAACCCAATGAAAATGTTAGCGATACAGAAAAAATTGACAATACAAATCACGTCGATTCAAGCTATTTTGATGCTCCATTACAACAATCTTTGAGTTCTGAAAATAAGGTTTCTAAAAAATAATGAAATTTTTGAAAAATTTTTCTTTGTAGGTTAGCATTCTTTACGAACAACATGATGTTAGTACAATTATTATGCAATGTTTTAGACTTCCTGATGAGTTGGACTCTAGCAACTTTCGGGTAAGAGTAACTTTTTTAGAAGATTTTGTTAAGAATATTTTTATTATATCCTTTAAGCGGGGACTGAACAATCCCCAAGAAATTATTTATATCCTTTTGAGCGGGAACTAGACTATCCTTAAGAGTTCACTCCATCGTTCTTTGTTTTATTGATAGGATCTTACCAAATCTGAAGAAAATTTTGGAAACTCGATCCGAAGCTCCACCCGACTTCTTTTCTCAACCCCCGTTTCATACCTTATTTGTCTCTGTTCTGGATTCCAAGGTTTTAAGCAAAATTATATAGTTAATGCGACGGAGTGAGCTCCTGTCAGATCTAGCTGTGTTTTTTTTAATCTTTAACTAAAAAATTTTATTCGTTTTTAGATTGACCACATTGTTGCTACTGAAAATCCAGATGGCTATGTTGTTTTGGGTGTAAATTGTGTTAGTGATGGGTGTGCTCTTACAGACAATTCCTCCTCAATAGTAATTTATTCACGAATGGAAGTTGTTCACATGTTACAAGTATTTTTTATAATTTTTTTTATTTAAATTCTAAATTTTTCAAAGGAAATTTGTTTGCGTAAATATTTTTTTCAAAACCTAAAAAAGATTGCACAAATTTTACTTCTTTCAATTGACTATTTTGGAATTTATCGACAACAGAAATTAAACGAAGATAATAAAGGACATAATCGAACATCAAAACATAAAGAAAATAAACAAGTTCTTGGATCGGCTGTTGTTGTAAGGTTTTTTTGATAGTCAAAACCCTCGCTTTTAAATACCCTTGGCGTAGGAAAATTTATTATTAAACAGGGGGGCTGGAGACTTCCTTTCCTCCCTCCTCCCAGTAATAGGGGAAAGTGTTGGGATAAGTATGATTGGCAAGGTGAATTTTTTCCGACCACATTACTTAAAATATAGGGACTAAAAATGTGCGTTTGTATCGCCAAAATAAACGTTTGACGCATACCCCATTATGGCCCCCAACCCTGAAATCTGACCTCTTGGTTATACTCTTGTCAATTAGGCAAAGTCTCAGGACTAAAAATGTGCGTTCATAGCGCTTAAGTAAATTGACGAACACCCCAACCCGGAAATCCGACCTTCGTTTATACTCTTGTCACTTAGGCAAAGTCCCAACCTAATGGCTAATCTAGTTTTTTAAAAGAACGTATCTTAAGTTGAGAATTTTTTTTAATTTTTTAGCGTTTCTCCTGTGGCGAAGTCATCTTGCTCGATTTAAACAGCGGTTTTTCTATGCCAATTTTTGATCCAAAAGATTCTGAAGATGGACAGATTGCTTCTGACATAGCTTTATGTTCTAGTGAGGGACGATCAGAGTTGGACCAAATTGTGGTTTTGACTAGCAAAGGACGAATTTTATGTTTTGATGTAAAGCTTCCGTTCCCTCCTGTTATTGGTGATGAGAGAAACGAAAAAATTTTTTTTGGTATTTCTTTTATAATTTTTTTGCTAACAATTATTTGGAGAAAAATTATGAGGTCAAGGGACTAACAACAAAAAAAATTTTTTTCAGGAAAACTGAAAAGGGTTTGGGCCTTTATTTTCATATGGTCAGCGAGTCAGAATTTCATTAATCTTTTTTATCCTTCTTTGCAAATATCTTTTGGTTTCACCCATTTTAAGGTGGAGATTGAAGGGCAGGCAGACATTTGAGGACGGACATTTGAGGACGGACTTTTGAGGACAGACATTTGAGGACGGACATTTGAGGACGGATTTTTGAGGACGGACATTTAAGGACGGACATTTGAGGATAAAAAATTATATACAAATTGGCAAAATCTTAACAAAAAATGCCAAAAATTAGTGAAATATTGAAATAAATTATGATTTATTTGTAACATAAAATGAAAAAGAGCTTAATTTTAGTAACAAAAACTTTATTTTGCTTGAAACCAGAGAAAATCGTCATTTCAGGACAGAAAATTAAGGAAAAGGTATCTTGTGCAATTTCAGATGGACATAAGACATTTTGGGAATGCTTATTGGATTTTGAGTTTTTTTCAGTGGAAGGTTTTGTGGGCTTATGTTCAGAGGGTGTTTTGAGGCATATTATGTTTATAGCTCGACGAATTGAGTATTTTACTCTGTTGGACATTTTGAGATTAGGCAAAAGATGGGATGTTTTAAGGGTTTGCTCATTTTCGGGTTTATTCATTGGAACATTTTTTACTTTAAATAAGCTAGGATTTTCCCCCTTTCAGCACCGCAGGCGAAAATTTTGGAAATTTCTGAGGACAATCGCCAAATTTTTTCCACTTTTTTCTGAAAATTTATGAAAATTCACAAAATTTTGGCAAAAATTTGCAACAATATTGAAATAATTTGCAAGAAGTGCCAAATATTGAAATAACGGGAAAATTGGCTAATTTTGTAGTTATTTTTCATTTTTTCCATATATCCGTCCTCAAATGTCCGTCCTCATATATCCGTCCTCATATGTCTGTCCTCAATGTCTGTCCTCATATGTCTGTCCTCATGTGTCCGTCCTCAAATGTCTCACCACCGATTGAAGCCCTTTGGGTAGTATACATAAGGGATCCAGCCGACAAAAAAATTAAATAACTGATTTTTGGGAATCGGATTCCCGGCTCAAAAAACGTCGAGGGGTTTAGAATCGGGATGGCCTCTTCTCTATAATTATTTTGTGTGTTTTTAGACAAATCCCATTTTTTTAAAAAATTGTTTCTCGTTAATTTTACTTACCTTTCTATCATAATAAGTCAAATAATCTTAGACTTTTAAATAATTCTATGAAAAAAATATAATTTTTAAGAGATTTCAAATGCGCTCAAAGCAGCTTCATCTAAATCTCCTATTGGCGAGTTTCAACTTCAAAATGAACTCACGGAAGCTTCTTCCTCTTCTTTGGATGGCATGCTTGCTGCTGATGATAAAACTTTTTCATCTTTTGATTCACTTGAAAATTTATGGTCGTTAACAAGACTGCATGGGGCAGCTTCTTTGCCTTCTGCTTTTCAATGTTCTACTGCTTCTACATTTTTGGAAACGTTTGTTTTTTAACTTTAAAACAGTGGACCTTACCATAATACAAGAGTGTCGTGGTTAAGTCGAACCCTGACTTTTTTCGACCCGAAAATCAGACTGAAAGCTTGGGTTGGATTGCTGTTCTTCAATCTGGGACCCCTTCTTCCGAATCCGCTAGGACATTGTTGGCAGCTGAGGTTTATTAGTAGCCGATGTCCATTTCCTTGCGCCTACCCTTTTCTCCGCTAACTATTAAGTGACACTACCTGTGAAATTTAACGAAGCCTACCCGAAACCCCAACTTTTTTCTCAACCCGTGACATTCCTCCTATAATACCCAATATTCTTGAAACCCTTTAAGGTAGTTTTTTGGGTAGATTCTAGATGGCAAGAGTTTTCTAAGCGATACTCCTCAATTTAAGCTACAACTCATAAGGCACAACCTTCCACTCACATGGGAGTATCTTATATCGAGGTCCAACTGATTCTTTTTTTAGTTCTAGTTGGAACACCCTACTAGCAAATGAAATTCAAGTCCATGCTCCTTCAAACTGGATAGATACAACAATTGCTCGCCAACGCCGTTCCAGACGTCCAACAACAGCAACCTCAACTTTTACTTGTTCATCAACATCTTTAATGTCTGACGATAAAAGAGGAGGGGGAGAGCAACAAGCATCAACAAAATTACAAAATACAAGAACTGTTTGGACATTTTCTCGTATAGAAGAAACTACATTTCCTATAGCTGCTTCGAATATTTCGGATCAAAATTTGGTTTTTGAATTTTCTATGCCGGTAAAAAATTTTGTTTTTGAAATATTCTTGTAAATGATGGGGTAATTTTCTTTCTTCCTATCATTTGTATTTTTATTTAGAGTTGTTTTTGACCAAGTTGGTTCTTGATTATTGGCAAAATCTGTTTAATCTGATGTAAGGAAGGAATCTTTTTTTCCTCTAGTAAAATGAATGCAAATCAATATCCATTTCCATTATATTCCATTCTAATAGAAGCCCTAACTGTTTATTTTTCTATGGGAGCCGACTGAAAATCCGAGCTTCGGTTCGGTTCTGAATTGAAAACATTATTCCAGTATCTTGAGTAGTTATTTAAGATATATAGTTTAAACAGTACAAAGGACGACCCTTCCATAAAAATTTAATTTTTAATTTCTTAACTTGCCTAATCTCACTTTTTTCCCATTTTTAGCCAATAATGCCTGTTAGCCATATCGAAATTTCTTTGGGATCTACTACCAATTATTCTTCTCCATCTTCTCAACCACAAATTGGAGGATTTTTAAGTATTTGGCTTTTAGACAGTGATGCAATCAAAAGATTATTTGCTAAGATTAGCAGCAGTTCAGGCAGTTTTTCTGCTTCGCATAACAAACAAATGCTTCTTTCTTTGTTGGGAGAAAATCCTGAGAATTTTGTGGAGGAAAATGTAGGGATTTTTACAGACTCATAATAGTTACACCAGTAGTAGGGATGGAAAAATAGTGCCTTATAATGAGGAGTAACTTAGATAGAGGGTATAGATTAGGCAGCTCTCCCACCCATTGGATAACCAATTTTTAAAAACGTGTTTAATATAGAGGTGTTTCTTGTATTGGGGTATTTTATACTGACGGACTTCATTATGGGATACACCCAATGCTAGATATACCTCGATTTAAGATGAGATTTTTTAAAATTTAGTTGGCCATTGGGTTGAAGAGCTGCTAAGCCATACACTCTATTTAAGTGTATCCAAGGGTTATCTATCCAAGGGTTTATCTCATGTTGATTCTGTTTGTATAATATTTTTTTACTTTAACAGGCAAAATGTATTTATGGCCCTATATCAATCGAGGAATTGTCTTGTAATTTAAATAGACATTCAAATGTTGTTCGTCTTCGTATTAGTACTAGTGCACTTTTATTGGGCGCTGCAGACTTGTTTAATGGTGACAAAACACAAAAGGGTTGGAGCAATCAGGTAACGAGAGAAAAAAATTTTTTAAATTTTTCTGAAATTTCTTTAGCCTCTCCACTTCTTCATTCATTACAAACCCCCAGAAAGTGTTGTCAACGAAGGTTTAAACATTTACAAAACGTCAACAGGCAAAAGTCTTTTCCTTCGTCGACAACAACAAACAAAGCTTTTGGAACGTTTTGGAATATTCAGAGGTGGAGGAGGAGGTGGGGGAACTTGTAGCGGTGGTAATGATTCAACAACAATAATTACCCCAGCATCAGTTGGTTCCCCTTTAAAACGATCTCATCCTGGAGGAGGGACAGGAGGAGGAGGAAGCGATTCTTCTTCCAATCAAAATAGCGGAGGAGGCAACAATACAAAATCTTCTCCACCTTTTTATTATCCAGCTTCTTCAGTTAAATCAACAACAAATTTGGGGTCTACTCAAGTTCCTACTTTGTTTTCGCTTCGAATTCATTTTTGTAGTATTCATGGGTTAAAATCGGAAAATTAATTGAATTTTTTAAAAGAAAAATGCTCATTTCTGGAGCAAATTTAAATTAGCTTTTTTTTTTATTTAAAATTGTTTTTTTATATTTATTTATATATTTACTTCTTTCTGGAACTGGAATCTGAACTTAATTTTTTAGGAACGAAGAGAGAAGTAAATATTTATTTAGGTTTTTTGTCTTTGTTGCTGTTATCGACCTCTTTATTTTGTAAAATCTGAAAGAAAACTTTTATTTTGGAAGGAGGAAGGGAAAGTCCAAGGGTTTTTAGGTTAGGAGGGCCGGGGGTTTTTAGGTTGGGAGGTCCGGGGGGTTTTTTAGACCTTGGACCTCCTTTTTAGATCAGGAGGGTCCAACTGCTCTAGAAACGTTTACTAGATACCATGGCCTACAATTTAGTATGTATTTTAAAGAGGAGAAGGTGAAAGGGTAAGGCTTCGGTATCCCATTCGGTAGATTGGTAAGCAAGGCGCCTAGCAATAACTGCCATGAGGTTGCAGGTTCGATGCCTGTTTGGATGTTTTCCTGCTCCAAAACAAAATTTTCTTTAATTTTTTCCTTCCCATAAAAGTTTTCTTTTCGGATTTACTATCTACATACACACATATTTTTAAATCCCCCGTTTACCGGTCGATTTTGCTCATATGCTTTTGTATAATTATATTTATCTTTTTGCCTTTCATAAATGCAAAAAAAAATTTTCGAAAAAAAATATTTTTTTGATTTTTTTATTTTTATTGGTTTTAGACCCAATTTCTATTTTAATTAATCTTTTAAAATGATTTTTTTCGTTTGAATGGGTGTTATGACTAGGGTTGACAGATACTGACCCAATATACGGATCCGAAAAATATCCCAGATGTCCGGATAATTTCGATGCAGATATTCCGGATATCAGAGAAATTCACAGGATCTGCCAACCTTAACTATGGCACTCTCGAACGGCATCCTTGGACGACAATTCTAGATACGACAAATTTAAAAAATATAGCATTATTGAAGTAACAGTCTGTCTGCTGGAATGCGACACATTTCCGAACGATTTCCGAAAAAGTTTTTTTATTTGTTGCACATATCAGGAATTGCCGTTCGCGTTTGTCAAAATCGTAGCACCAAAGTTTTAATAAATTTAAACAGATTTTGAGAGAATATTTAACAATTTAATGAACACTAACAACAGCACTAACAATAAAAGAAACACTTTGAACAACAACAAAAGACGTGTCAAAGTTTCACTTCAATTCCCAGAAAAATTATTTTATGAGAAGGTATTGAATGAATGGAGGGAGAATATTTCTGATCGAAATCATGCTTATGTTGTTAGGAAAGCTTTGAATAATTTAAAATTATTTCCTTTGGATGTTCATGGACATGGAGAGTTGAGGAAAATTAGAGGTTTTTTAATTTAATTTTTGAGTTAATTTAGTAATACGATTTGGGTGAGAAAGGGTTGAAATAAGATATATTTTAGTTTGTGGAGGGCAGGGGTTGGCCGGGTTGAGAAAAAAGTCTTTTCGTGTTTCAGGTCAGGTTTTAAAAAGATTTTTCAGATTTAGGTTTGGGTAGAGAAGCCCCGAGTTTCGGGTAACCTTACCCATTGCCTTTCGTTATATTTGGTTTGATGGAGGTTGGATTGGGATCCGACGGTGGGACCCTACTGGTTCGAGTCCGCTTGCCTTTTAATTTGATATCTTTTAACTTGTCAGTTATAATTAAGCCCTTGGGGCTAAAAATATACCTTATAACTAATTCTTCGTTAAATAGAGTGGTTTAGACGACTTCCTCGCCCGATGCCTTACCATATTCTTAAAAAACGTCTGTTAAATAGAGGTGGATCTAATACTGAGGGTGTCTTACAGGGATGTCTCGGGTTACCCGAAACCCGATACCCGGACTTTTTTTCGACCCGAAACCCGAAACCCGACCCGAGAAATTTTCGAAAACCCGACCCGAAACCCGACATTTTCCTTGGAATTTTATTACAAAAAGGGAAGATTTTTGCCTCTTTGGCCTTCCAAAATTCTCAAAATTTTCGCCTGCGGCGCTGGAAAATGATGAAATCTAGTGGGTTGGCCTTCCAAAATTCTCAAAATTTTCGCCTGCGGCGCTAAGAAATGCTGCCGAAGTTGGGCACGATTTTTAAGAATCATGATGGTTTGTGCAGGTATCTATGGGAGGTACCTTCGGTGGAATGAGGTATCTTCGGGGGAAGATAAAAAAAATCGCAAATTAAAAAAAGTGGGCGTGATATCGCGTGGGACGTTTTCCGTTGGGATTTTTACCATAAAAAGAAGAATTCTGGCCTCATGGCCTTCCGAAATTTGCAAAATTTTCGCCTGCGGCGCCAAAAAATGAAGAAAACTGTATCGAAATACAGAGTAATTTTGCCGCGATGTCGAAGGAGCAAGAGTGGATGAAGGGTGATATCGGGGGCTTTATTGGATTAAGGTTGATTAGCGGAGATATCGGAGGGTTTAGAGGTGTATCTGGGATTTCAAGGTATTTTCAGAGGGTCTCGGAGGTTTAAGGTATAAATCATGGATTAGACATCTTCACCAGATACTTTTAAATGCCTTGATATCCCTTTTAATCCCCAAATCCCCTGATATTACTCTTAATCCATCCAAATCCATTTAATCCCTGTCTCTTATTTTATCACACTTATATATTATCTTATTAATCCCGGAAATTACTAATATCCCCAGCCTCTCCGAAAAATTTGGCTTCATGTTCAAATTTTTAACTGACCCGACCCGAAACCCGACCCGAGACCCGAAATCCGGACTTTTTTTCGACCCGAAACCCGAAACCCGATCCGAAGAAAATTTTGAAAACCCGACCCGAAACCCGACCCGACTTTTTTCTCAACCCGAGACATCCCTGGTGTCTTATAGAGAGAGTTGACTGCTGTCTAGTATTGGGGATGTATTATAGTGAGCGTCTACTAAAAAATTTTTTCAAGGAATTGGCGAGGATATAGCTACACGTTTGGATACTGCTTGGCAAAGAGCTTGTGAAGTTTTATTCCCAGGAATTGCCCCTTCAATAAATCAAATAAAAGAATTGCAGCCTGGGCAAGCATTTAAATTTTTGGAAGAAACAGCTAGTGAAGCTAATGCTTTTAATAAAAAAAGAGGAAATTCATTGCCTTTTATTCACAACAAAAATTCAAAAAATATTAAAGAAAAACCCAAATCATCCCCAATAAAAAGATCACCGGCAAAATTGTTATTGACTAAAAATAATTCGAATGATGATGATGATTTCTGTGAACCTACAACGTCTTCAAGAATGGATAAAATTGAAGGTTTTTTATTTAAAATTAATATTTAACTTCCACCCTTATTTGAGTCTCCAAATTTGCCCTTTACGTATTCGATTACCTTGCTACTAGATAAAGCTGTCGACTCACTCGACGTCCGTCGATTTAACTAGAGTAGCACGAGACCGGTTAATGGCCTCGTTTTTTCCCCTCTGGAAGTCTTTTTTCTCTTTTTTTTCGCTTCTCTCTGTCTCTTTTTGACCCGCCACAGGGTAAAATAAACGAGACCGTTAACCGGTCTCGTGCTACTCTAATTTTAACTAGGGTTGTTTGCTAGATATTATTAACCAAGTACCCCTCGGTTAATCCAAAATTTTAAGAGGGGAATTTTTTTAAAATAATCAATCATTTTTTAAATATTCTAGTTGTTAAAATTTGATAAAAACGGTTAATTTTAGGCAAAAAATCTCAAAATTTTCGGTTTTAAAGGCAGTCGTGAACAACCCTGATTTCAATTAATTTGGTCAAAATTGGGAGATTTAATCAAATTTTTTGGCCAAAAAATTTGGTCGAACTTTAGGGAGAATTTTAGTAAAAATTTCGGTTCTAAAGACGGTCGTTAACAATCCCAATTTCAATTAATTTGGTCAAACCTCTGGCCAAAAAAGTTGGTCATTTTCTCGATTATTTTGGATTTTAAATTTTTTATTCTCTATTTTTTCAGTTTCTCATTCATTATCGAATAATTCCAATCAAATTAATCAAAAAGATTCTGATGCTGAAAGTATCTCAGAGGAGCACCAACAACAACAACTTCATTATTCTCCTTCAGAAAATGTAGAAAGTTCAATAATTTTAATATCAGATAATCGAGAAGAAATTTCAAAAGGAAATAGAGCAAAAGGAAAAAGTGTTGGAGAATTTTTAATTTGTGGAGGAATTAAATGGGAAAGTAGAAAACTTTCTGTTGGGGATTATTTGTGGATATTACAATGGAAAGATTGGCAGACTGGAAGGCTAAATGAAATTGTTTTGGATTATATTGTTGAAAGAAAGACTTGGGATGATTTGAAGGTTTGCTTTTTAAATTTTGGGATGAATTGTCTTTCTTGGGGAAAATATAAAAAAATTTTTTGGTTGCCCTTCGATAGAGGGCCCCCAACTTTTTTTGTTACAAAATCATTTTTTTCGAAATAGGGTTGTCATTTGGGTTTTTCTTCGATTCCAAACGGTTCTGTTTTTGACTCAAACTGAGAACCGAGCATTTTTTAGTTCGGTTCTTTGGTTCAGTTTATTAGAAAGTGTTTAACCTTCTAAAAATAGAAAATCTTCTCTAAATTGAATAGAAAAATAGGTAAAACCAGAAAATAATCTAAAAATCCCCTAAAAATCCGAAAAGTTGATTTACCCATTTAGACTCAAGTCAATATAATTTTGAAAGAAAAAAATTTTTTAAATAAAATTTTGGGAGTTTTCTATTGAATTGTATCAAAAAACACAATAAATCTGTATTGTCAATATAATTGTAAGCAGTATATATTTGACGATGAGTTTCTTCGGTACGGGACCTTTTCTCTCCAAACATACTGCCCTAACCAATTGTAACCTAAAATTCCTTTCCTTTTCCCTTGCCAATGTTCCCTTGTTATTAAAAAAAATTTTTTTTTATTTTTAAAGAAAAGTATTCGTGAACCTCGTTATTTGGAACAAAAATGTCGTCTTCAAAAATGTGGAATAAACAATATAGTTTTAATTGTGGAAGGATCTACAAATGTTTGTGACCGTTCTCTTGAACAAGCAATTATTTCAACTTGTGTGGATAACGATTTTTTGGTTCACCGAACTTTGAATAAACAAGGAACGGCCAAATTTCTTCAATTTTTAACAAAACGATTAGAAGAAAAATGCTGTAAAGAAGAGGTTTTTTCTTTGAATTTTAAGATTTTTTGTGGGAAGGAACAGTTAAAGCTTAGTCCGTAAATAAAGTTTAGTCCGAGCAGGAATTGGTCTCTGCTTGCAAGAGAGACCGAGTCCTACTCCCTGCTTGCAACCTTCTAGGAGTTTTCTTTTTGGATATTCCACTTCACATCGTTCTGTTTAAGATTAATTTTCCTTCTCTGGAGCCATTTAAGATGTGTTTTGTGATTTTTTGTTGGTTTTTTTTGTTTTTTTTGGGTTTCGATCGTAATTTCGGGTCAGTAAAAGTCAGAAAAAATTTGACTGTGTCATATAAAAAGAAATTTCCCCCTATTTTACCCCTACAAAATTTTTATTTGTGAAGAATCCCTTTTTTTTTATTTGTGAAGAATCCCCCTTTCTTACATTAGACCATCAGTTAAATTCAATATAAAAATTTCTCTCTTTTAGATAATCGGCCCTTCCTTCGAAACTCTTCAAGAAAAATCCAAAAAACCCAAACCAATCTCAATTTCCGATTGTTGGCTCCGTCAATTAACAGTTTGCCCAGGAATGAGTTTGGAAAAGGCTAAATTAATTCAACAACGATTCCCCACATTTGGTTCACTTATTCAATTTTATAAAAATGAGGGGAAGGATATAAATGAAGAAATTCCAACATTGCCTGAATCTATAACGAAAGTATTAAATGTTTTTATGAAGAGTGCATTAAAAAATGATGATTTTTAAAGAGATAATCAATTTAATTTATATAACAACGGACTTCTTTTAAGTAGAGAGCGAGCTGGATTTGGATCCAGACATTGATTTTTCCTGGATCCAGAGTCCAGATCATGGCCTTTTTCAGCGTTCCTGGATTTTTCCTTGACTTAAGTTCAAGAATCTGGTCAAGGTCCTCAATCAAGGTCAAGGTTTTTTTTGAAAATCTCGCTCTCTACTTATAAAGTATATCACTAAATACCCTCCAGGTTACGTTTAAACAAAATGGTTAAGTTACGTTTTTTTCAGCTTCTAAGGGGTATCTAAAAAAGAGGACTTTAGGAATCGGACGGGGCAGCTCAAAAATCTCACCCTCGATGATCAAGATTTTTTTATTCGAAAGATCGATTCGATCCGCTCTCTATTTAAGATTAACAACGAAAAACTTTCAAATGTTTCGGTTTGGATTTTCAGTTAAATATCCGTCAATTTTTGTCCCAAAAATATCCAATCCATAAATTTTATCGCTTGTAAAAACAAATAACATTATTATAAAATGATGTTCCAATATTATTTATATACACAATTTAAAAAAAATATTTATTGAAAAGGGAACGTTATATAAAAATGACTGATTTCGTTATGGACGGTTTGAGAATATATAAAAGTTTATTAAAAAACAAGAAAGGGTAGCTTGCCCTAATATTAGAAATCTTTGGTTAAAAAATTAAAAGAAAAATAAGTGAAAAAATACAAACAAAAATTGAAAAAACAAAAAAGGGGTAAAATTTGAACTTCATCCCCTCCCTTTTTCCTTTCTTAAAATATTATTAAAATAGCCGGACCTGAAATGAGTCAACAACAACAGGGAAATTGCCGACAAAAAAACAATTCCCAGTTTTGGGAATCGGGGTCCCAACCCAAAAGACAAGGAACATCCCTATTTTCGGGTACATCACTATCTCTATTTTCAATGGAATTCACTACGAAAAAATTTTTTTAAAGGATAAAACCCTGCTCACTCAAAGTACTGGGCCATTGTGTCTAAAAAGCAGAACTGATACTTATATCCATAGCTGATCAAAAAATTTTAAGTCAGATCATTTTTAATACGTTGAGGAAAAGAAAAGGACGGGAATGGAAGTTCAATTTTACCATAGAAGGTAAATTATCATTTTTTTGGAAAGAAAAAACACTAAATAGCTTTTTAAAAGTTGAGCCTTTCTTGGAAAAAATTTAAAGAAAAATCACAAAACAGAACAACAACCTTGTTTGCGCCTTCTATTAGGTCCAGAACCCATTGCTAATTGTTGTTTTGAAGCTACACCAAATGTGGCTGTTGGACCGCCATTCATTTCTAGGAAATAAAAATAAATTTTTATGATTTTAAAAACTTTTTTGGGATTTCAACTGAAGATCAGAGCTAATGTTGAAGTAACCAGATTAGGGTTGGGGTTTCGAATCGGCCGACGTTCGAGTCATTTTTTCGGGCCGGACCGGTCGAGTCTTTTTTGGGCCAAAAATCGATGCCCGATTCGCTCTTTCGAACCGAACCAGGATCCAACCCTAATACAGATGTTAGGACCCGAAAAATAGTCCGGATATCTGGAAGTTTAGAATCTGGATTATCAAGGGATTTATCAGGATTAGTCAAATCTCAAAACAGAACAACAACTTGGGGCGATCGAAATTCTAAGGGCTTTTAGGCAGAGAGGTGTCCAAGCTATCCCCTCTATTTAAAACACAACTCATTATAAGGTACCAAGGGGGAGGGGGGGGGGCTGGGGAGAAGAAATCTGAAAATGGTAAAAATCAGGCTTCTTGTGCTCCAAAATTCAAAAAAATTTCCCAGCGGTATTACTACGCCCTTGTAAGGTAAAATCCTTTCCCAAGGGGATATCTCACAGCGAGTAGTTCCCCTTGTAAAATTCAAAAATATTTTTAAAAATTAAACCTTGTTGTCCTCTCACTCCTCCTCCACCACCGCCCTTTCCTCCTCTTTGCCCTCCTTTAAGTTCTGAATGTAATTCTCCATCTTCTCCATCATTATCTCGGAACCCGGCAGAATCTGCTTCTAATTTTTTCAGCCATTCATCTGGCGACATTTGTTGTTTTTGTTTTTGGTGTGAAGCACTTCTGGCCATTAATGCACGTTTTGGGGGAGATTCACGACGTTGTTGTTGGTGTGGATTTCCGCCGTGTAATGCTGAGGAGGAGGCGCTAGTAGCTGCTGTGGGGTTGTGAAGATAAGAAGAACTTCCGGCCGTTAAAGAATCATCCTTAAAAAATATTTAATGTTAAAAATGAGAACAAGACATTTGCGGTCCAAGTCGGGAATAGGCCGGGACCCAAAATCCGGACTTTTATTTTGACACATAATCCGAAACGTGACAAGAAAATTTTTCGAAAACAATTCAAAATCCAGGCCAACTTTTTTCTCACGCTGGCCCATCCCTTCGTCCAAGGCTAAAATAGGAAATCAAAATAAGGTTGACTTTAGGGTCGATTTGCGTCGTTCGAAACGTGTTAAGGACCAATTTTTGGGATCCTATCTAATGCTAATCCTTTTAGAATATGTTGTAGAACTTTTACACACTCGTCTTGGACGCGTCGGGGAAAATAACGGACAGAGTTTGCAGATTACCAAACAAGAAAAATTCCGGGTTTCGGGCACCCTGTCCTAGCCACAGAGACAGCAAGTACAGTGTACTCCATTAAAACACAAAAACAAACCGCCGGATTCGAAGAAAGGTCTTCTTTACTATTATAACTTCTAATTAAATCAGAACCCTCTCTTTGCGCCTCCAAACGAGCTAAAGACATCCCGCTTCGATCTCGTAATGATTGGCGTCTAATTGCACCTCTAGCAGAGAAAGGGTTTTCTAATGTTGAAGGTGGTTGTTGGGGCGATTCGAATTTTTTTCTTCTAAATTTATTCATTAAAATGAGGAAAAATTTTCAAAAAATAAACTTTCTGCTTTGTCGTCGAGAATCTCGAACACCAAAGTAACCACCACCTGGACCTCGCCGCCTCCTAGCTTCTGTTTGAGCTATTGTTCTAATTACTTGTTGGGTTGGTTCGTCTTCAGTTAATTCTTAAAAATTAAAGAAATTGGTAAAATATGGTAAAATTAGACTAGGTTATGGACACGGATATTTGGAGTTCCGAGGATATGAATTGGTTCGAAAATCGGTCGGATTCAGATGAGAACCCTTAAGATTTTCTGTTGATTGTCTAACTATTTAAAAAAGATTATAGACCCAAGAAGTGATTTTCCTCAACGGTGACTTAATAGTCGATGGATTGACCCCATGAGTATACATATTCGGCCCGACTGGAAATATTTTAAAATGATAGAGATCTGAATAATAGAGGATTATCTTTGACCAAGTCTGCTAAAATTATTAAAAAGGCCAGAGTACTTATTCAATAACTCTAAGAATTCCCCCCTCCCCCAATTTCCACTCCAAAAATCTATATTCTAATAAAACTGACAGGTGGTACTTGACGGACAGACAATTCTCCAAAAAAATTTCCTTAATCACCAAAAACGAAAAAATGAAAAAAAACCTAAAGGGCTTTCCCCCGCTCCAGTTTTTGCATTTATATCAGCTCCATATTCACACAAAAGTTCAATTAAGTCTGGCTGATTCCAAGAAGCAGCTGCATGAATGGGTTGCCACAAATCGATATCTCTCAAAGCTGGAGAAACATTACAACGAAGAAGGAAAGCTGCAACATCATAATAACCATTAGCTGCTGCTATGTGTAACTACAGAAAATTTTTTAAATTATTTTTCAAATTTTCTGTCATTTTCATACAAATTTTAGGGGTTTCTCAGTTCATGCGCCCGATAATATGCACATTAGATTTCTCTGGTTTTACGGACCTATGGCAAGTTGATTTGGGACTATCCGTTAGCTTATATAAACCTTGGACAGCTAGGAGATTTTTGTAAGTTCTGGAATTTATAAATAAGCTAAAAGACTCTTAATTATAGCCCCGAACCCCAAAAATCTTAAAAACCTCCAAATTTGAAACCAAAGTAAATCATGCTCTGGACTAGCTATGAGTCCAATAAAACTTTATGAGTTCAATGGCCTCACAGTTTCCAATGGATTCATAAAGCTAGACGAAAAATTAGACTAGAGCGGAAAATCACTGTACAACTTGATAGGACAAAGGACAAGTGCCTCTCTCCCAATACCTTATTCCCCCTCCAAAAAAGTTAACTTACAAAGGTAGATTTATCAATAGAATTTCTTTGGTCCAAAGGTAATCCTCTTTGATGTAAAATTTTCATATCATTCAACATTTCCCTTTCTGGCTGTTGCCTCCTTTCATCAATCATTTCCTGTGTAATTCCTCTAGCAGCCATTTCAGACTCAATAAGGTCAAGTGTTTGCTCATCATCACAAATATCATAGGGCATATTTCCATCTGCATTTACTGCTAGTAAATCTGCGTTGCTGAAAAAATATTTTTTTATAGAATGAAACGGAGGTTGTTTAATCGAACACAATTAATAAAAAAAATAGAAAATCCCCTACGGAGTAAGGTTGTCGGATCCGGATCCGAAAAAGGCCGGATATCCGAAGATTTCCAACTATCCGACAACCTTACTACGGAGGTCGAAACATGACCAGAAGGAATAGAATATTCGAACTTTTCAACCCAAAAAGCAACTAGGTCCCCCTACACTTTTTGACCCTTATGAGACCATAACTTGACTTAAAATTGAGGTCCGAGGTAAACTTTGGGTTATAAGACTCCGATTGACCTCTTTCAACCGACATATGTATTGCTTGTTTGAAGCGGATCATGGGAAGCATGACGGGATTTTTCCAAATTTTTCTCTAGAATTCTCCCAAAAAAAATTAAAAAAAAACTAACTGTGCAATAAGTAAACGAACAATATCAATATAAGCACAACATGCTGCTGCATGTAAAGGTGTCCAAAGTTCCGTATCTTTGGCGTTGACACAAGCCCCGTACCTTAGCAAAAGGCGAACAATTCTTTCATTGTTATCGATTGCACACTAAAAATTAAATTTAAAAAAATGATTAAATTTTTTAAACCTGATGTAAAGGTGTCAATCCATCCTCATTGTGCGAATCAGCGTTGACTCCCTCCATTAAAAGACGTTCAACTAAAAAATAAAAAAATTTAACTGAGACTTAATACTCTTGCATTTTTCTGGCTCAATTAAGATGAATGCCCATACCCAAAAAATTAGAAACCAAACCTTCTTGTGTATCCCCCCTAACTGTAGCCTCAAGTAAAGCAACATCTGGAGTAAATCGAAGCCGAGGCCGACGCTGTGCTGGCATAGGCAACTGAGCTTCTCGGGCAGCATTTTGTCTAAGTTGTTCAGCTCGGCGTTCTCTAGCTAGTGCAATGCGTTCTTGAGGGGTTAACTTTTCAATTTCAGGCAATTCCTCCACCAATGCATGATGGTCCATAATTACGGGAATATTTCTTCTTCTAAAAGACAAAAAATAATAAAAACTGATTTTAAAAATTAATTTTGCCCCAAAAACATTTAAAAAATAGTCAAAAAAATTTTATTTTATAATGGGAAGTCAAAAATAATTAATTGCCCCCAAGCGGATTCGAACCATGGTGGGGGGAAAATACAGGATAAACACCAACCAACTACACCACCGGCAACACTTATTCATCCCATTAAAAATTAAATACATAAATTAACTACTTACTTTCAAATTAGTTTGCTCAGTCCAAGACTATCAAAATAGATTAGATATTTGTAGTTTTATTTATTCAACAAAATAAAGCAGCGACAAATTTTCTTTTTTAATATTTTTGTAGTTAATTTGCGTGAATCCAAATAATTTATTTTTTAAGAATTAATTTATAGTATCTAAAATTAAATAATTTTTTTGTAGTTTAATGCATGAATCGGACTCTTATTTTTGATATTTTATTTACAAAATTGAATAAAAATTTAGGAAATTTGCTTTAGTTCATAAAAAATTGGCCATGGATTTGCTAGGCACTCCGTGGAGCCTAATTTCGAGTCTAATTCAGCTTGTAAGTTAAAAGGGGCATAACTTTGTGGGACAGAATTACACGGAGTGTCCCACGGGCAGTGGGAGCCTATTTGGTAGTTAAAATTAAAAGTTAACAAAATGACCCCTAAAAGATAAACAAATGTCCCACGGGCAGTGGAAAAGCCGGAAGGGGTTCCCCTTTGTCTGCTCGACGAACCTTTTCGAATGGTATATCAATTCGACCTAATAGTGTCCTTCTAGCGAATAAATGGGGGTTACGGTAAAGGTAGTGTGTGGGATAGAATCACAAGGGATATCCCGCGGGAAAACCCCGCAAACTAAAAAAGTGCGGGATTGAGAGAGTCCTACAAGCACCGGAAGAGTTCCTCTGTCTCCTCGAGGGAACCTGCAACTCCCAGTCCCTCGCTGGTCACTAACACAGATATCAATTTAATCACATAAAAAAAAAATTTTTTTTATAAAAAAATTTTTGTAGCTACATTCGCGCGGAATGCAAGAAGGAATCGATATATAAAAATTGTTAAATAAAGGTGTGCTATATAGAAAACTTGTGTAGTGAAGAAAATGGACAGATGAAATGTCAAGCAAGGAAATGAATAAAAAATGTGAGCGAAATGACACTAAAGGAATGCTGCGCGGTATTGGGTCTTTCTCCCCTTCCTTTCTCTCTCTAAAAATTTTTATTTTAATCTTTTCTCTAAAACTATCGACCGACCACACCGGTTTATACATAAAGAGACATGTAACGACAAAATGGTACTATGGCTAAAACAGGACAAAATGGTACAGAAGGAAAAATAAGACAAAATAATACACGACAAAATGGTACATAGGGCAAAATAAGACAAAATAGTACTAACAAAAGTATTACTGCGGCAATTTAAAAATAAAAAAATTTTCTTATCATTTTACTGATTAGCTGCCTTTAAAAATAAAAATAGAAACATATCTTTTTATCAATTTTTTAATTACTCATAGGGTACCCAAGTAAATTTACTAGTTAGGGTAATTTTAATTTATTAAAGGACATATTACCATTTTTACCAAATTTGGCCTATGTACCATTTTGTCGCGTACTATTTTGTTGTGGCGCCAAGGAGCATGAAAAGTGGTCATGGATTCCCTCTTTATTTTTAGAAATTTATTTCTCTAACATGTTCGCTGGCAAATTAAGAGGAACGGGACGGCTGAGTCTCACCAGTCCTCATTTTTAAGCCTTGAGCCAACACAAATCCTTAAATCATTCAAAAACAATAAACCCCTCCTCAAATACAATAACCGGATAAAATAGCGGGAAAATTGCAGTAAGACAAAATGGTACAGTTCTATTCAATCTCAAGTGAAGGAGAGTAGAGATCAGATCGATTATTGTTTAAATTTGTGATTGGGTAAAATTAAAATGGACAAATGTCATTCGAAAGAGCTCGTGGAGCTGACAAATGAGTGTCAAAAATTATGGGGCGCTCACAGCCAGAAGCCGAGATATGGGGCTCGAAATGGTCAACAACCATAGGAGGGCTCAAAATGGTCAAAAACCCATAGTGGGGTCGAAATGGTCAAAAACCATATGGGGGCTCGAAATGGTCAAAAACCATATGGGGGCTCGAAATGGTCAAAAACCATATGGGGGCTCGAAATGGTCAAAAACCATATGGGGGGAGCAGCTGATTTTTGGGGTCAAAAAATCGATAGAATAATTACCACCTCTAGCTAGAGGTTGAAACAATAATTACCCGGGGTAATTTTTCAAGTAAATCGGCTGTATTTAAAATTTTAACAAAAAATCAATAAAATATTTGATTAATTTATTTGAAAAAAATATATAAAATATTTTTGCGGAAAGAAAAGTAGTCTTTTCCCTACTCTCCTTCTCCTTCCTACCACCATTAACTAGCTTTTCATTTTAACTGACTGGTTTGATAAGTGATTTTATTGGGGGGAAGATTCATGTTTAATTTACTTGTAAAAGTATTTTTTGGTAAAGGGACGGACACTTTCAATCAATTAAAAAATAAAAAGCAGTTGGCTGCTGGTTAAATCAGGCGATTAAAAAAAGAAAGAAAGAAAGCAAGTAAACAAAAAATATAAATTTTGGAGAAGGGGGGGGGGTGATTAATTAGTTAACTAACAAGATATCCTTCAAGGGATCCTTTCTCAATTAAAAGTAGACCAACAAATAAATTAAAAAGGTGGCAAAGGCAATCCCTATGAGTAAAAGAGAGAGAGGTAAAGCTTAACCACGGGTAGGCATTGAACCTGTGACTTCCTTGGCGGTTAGTTGCTAGGACTTTCAATCACCACACACAGTAGAGACGTCCGAGACTCTTGGTCGTGATTCCAAGACTTTTCTTGAGTTTTTTCGATCTTGGGGTCAAGTCTTGGTCGAGTTTTGGAAAATTTTCGGTCTCGTACGTCTTTAACATACAGGTGCGTTACTGACTGAGCTCAAGGGCGTTGATTGTCCTAATCTCTCAGTATTTTAAGTGTTAGCCAGTTGAATCTTACTTTTACCTTAAATGACAATACTGGGTTTGGTTCCAAGTTTTATAGGTGATTTTATCGGAAAAATTTTACTCGATCGACCCTGTAACAATGATTCCTCCGAACATTCACACATTACCTAATAGAGCTAATGATATGCTTACCTTTATAAAAATTGCATTAAAAAAGGACGATCATGAGCTATGTACGCATAAAAAAGAAATGGCTCTTACCCTTCTGAAATCCAAAAATCTTGGAAGATGCTTAATACGGTTCCGGTTCCTAATGCCCAATACGTTCAGGATTCGAATTTCTTAACATTGTTATAGAGCTGGAACGTAGTGGACTAAAAATGGATTAAGATAACATTAAAAAAAGACAAGTTGGCCACTGAGTGGAGGAGCTTCCCAAGGGATACCCTCTATTTAATATTTAGACCCTCATCATAAGAGACAATCTTTTCAGCCCCAAATGGTGTACTATCTTTCACTTTTGTATACCTTAATCAATAAAAAAACAAAAAAATTTAGGGCAGACGGGAGGAAGGTAATTGGGTTGGTAAAGGAAGGGGGAAGGGGGGGGGGTTATTACGGATGTGAAAATTGTTTTGAAAAAAGGGGGGAATAAGAAGAAAATTGCGATAAAATAAAAATGTGTTTGTGTGTGACGGTTAAAAATGTGAAGAAAAAAAGAGGATGATTAAAAATAATGAAATGGATAGAAAAAGATTATAAAAATATTTTTTAGTAGATGGGGCGCGCAAAAATGTGAACGGGAAAATTAAAAAAGGGGAAATGGAACTAATTAAATAAATAAATTTTTTAAATAATTTTTGGATGCATTCAAAACCTCGTTTTTTAGATACTCCATTGGGTTTAAAAAAATTGACTCTATAATGAGGTGTATACTAAATAGAGGGGTTTCTTAAATTAGAGTGGAATATACTAGAGGGGTATATTAGTGTACCTTAAATACTGAGTGGAGGAGCTCCCAAAGGATGCCCTCTATTTAATAGACGGGTTTAGCCGAAACAGATCTTAAGAGAAAATGGTCCCTTATAGCGAGCTGTATGTTAAATAGAGGGTTTTCTTAAATTGAGGTGCAGCCTATACTAGAGGGGTGTCTAATAGTGAGGGTACCTTAAATAGAGGTCCAACTGTATCAGTATTTAGCTTAAACAAATCCTAAGAAGAGAAAGGCAACAAAACGAAATTAAATTAATAACGAAAGCGAAACAGTAAAAAAACGAAAATTAGGCTAAAAGCGAAACCCACTGTATAAGACAAGCTCAATTTAAGATACTTTTTAAAAATTTAGTTGGCCACTGAATAGAGAGCTTCCCAAGAGATACCTTCTATTTAATAGACCCTCATTATAAGAGACACACCTTCTATTTAATAGACGCTCATTATAAGAGACACCTCATTATAAGAGACACACCTCTATTTAATAGACGCTCATTATAAGCTACAATCTTTTCAGCCCCAAAGGGTGTACTTTTAAAAGAGATTTGACTCTATTAAATTAAAAAAAAGATTTAATATTTTTAAATATTTACTTTTAATCTCTTTTTTCCTTTTAATCTTCTAATAGCCCCCATTTTAAATATTAAATCTTTCTCTTATTTAAATTAAATATGTACACATGTAAAATAAGGCTTTAAAGAAGCCATTAAAAATATTTAAATACCAAAATTGATTAAAAAAGTGTTGTCAACAATTTTAAGAAAAATTGAAAGTCAAAGAGATATACTTGGATTAAATGGATTTGGGAAGGAATTTAGCTTAAGAAATTTTTTTGAGGGACATTTTTAATAAAAAAAGCGTCCTACGGGTTGATAAGGCTAACTTGGATTTTTTTAAATTAATTTAAATTGGCCGGCAAAATTGAATTTTGACGGTAATATTTAAATAGAGTTGGAATTTTTCAGATTTCCGGATCTTGTATGAGAATTTTTTATAGGGAGGATGTTTTTCAAAAAATAAAGCAGTTTCTCCTTAGTGCAAAAAGTTACTCAGCGGCTGGGAGCATCTTCAGTTTCCTGACCGCCGTGTTTTACATTACACCACATCGTTTCCTGCACATATCTACATAAATGCTTTACAAAAATACAAAGGTTAGGACCATACCAGGGCTGGGCTTATTTCGCACTTTCGCGTTTCGCATCTTTCGCATTCTCGCATTTTTTGGCGCGAAAAGTTTCCCATTTGCTCTTTGTTTTTTCATTACGCCCAGCCCTGGACCATACCCCCCCCCCCCCCCCCCCCCCGATCAGTGCTTGTCTTTTCTTCAAACAACAGTTGGATGATTTTTAAAGAAAAAGTCAAGGGTTTTGCCTAATCGGCCTGCGCCTACTCGGGCTGAACCTTAATATGTAAATGAAACCTTTTTTAAAGAACACAGTGGAAAATAAAATATTTGGAAAAAGAAAAATCCATTTCCGGGACTTACAAGTGTCGCCAAAAAATCTTTAAAAAGGGGCCTTCTTAATTTTTTTGTTTGACTTGTAGCTCTAATTAGCTACAATATATTTAAACTAAAAAATGAGAAAAAATATTTTTAAAAAAGGCTTCTTTCTTTTAAAGGCTTCCAACTTAAAATGGCATTTTTTTCTACTTTTTGTTTTGCTTGTTTTCTTAGTTTTTATCCCCGTCCCTCTCCCCCTTCTTTTCTTTTTGTCAAGACAATACTACCAAGTTTCTTTTCTCTATCAAAAAATTTAAATCTTTAAAGGGGCCCATCTCTAGTTAATAAATGGGCCCATCTCTAAAATAGGCCCATCTCCTTAATTCGAACCTTAATTTAGCCAATCGAACCCAAAAATTCGACATATTGGTTAGAGAAAAAAAAGGCCCGGGGTTGAGAGAATAAAAAAAAGGCACGGGGTTGAGAGAATCGTATGAGAATCCAGATCGATATCTCGAAAATTTATAACCAAGATTTCTGATCGAGATCACGATCGATACCGTCTCTCGTAGAATACTCGATTAAAGAATTTCAAATACTTCAAACCAATAATGTTAGGGTCAATCTACGGGTACTGCTCTACTACTCGACTAATGCTACGGGTCGAGTTTAGTCTTGAAAAAGGCCCGGGGTCCGAGTAACCATCTCTGCTTCTAATCTGAATTACAATCGAATTTTTGTAAAACCGAAAATTTGATTTCGAATTTGAACTTTGATTCTAGTCATTTATCCAATTTCTAGTTTCCATCTACTATTTTTAGGGATACCCTTCTCTCAGGCACACGCCCAAGTAGGCGCGTGGCCATAACGGCGCAAAGCCATAACTAGCTGGAAAATTTCTGACCCTTATTAATTTTGGTACCAATTTCTTTAGCTTGATGAGAGGAATCGTTTAATACTAAATTTGGTAAGATTCAGAAAGCTTGAAGAAAGTTAAGGCTATGCGCCGTTATGGCGCGCGCCTGGATGTACCCCCTTCTCTCTCTCTTTCTCTCAATTAATTTTTAGTTTTTCTTTTAATTTTAGTCTCCCTCACTTTATTTTTTGGTTTTTCTTTAGTCAAATTTATTAGTAAAATACACATTTTTGGGCATTTTTAAAAGAAAAGAAAAAAATTTTTTTTTCTTAAAAAAATATTTTTTCTCTCCTCTTCTAACTAATAAATGCGTGTTTCTTGAAAAAAATTTTTTTTTGGCAGAAAAAGGAGAAGCTACAAAGGAGAAGCCTTTTAGAAATTGTTTTTAGTTAAAAGAAAGGAGAGGCAAACCATTAATGCTAAATTGAATGTTTTTTTTTGGTAAAAGAAGAAAAAAATAAAAATTGTAAAGGAAAAAGAGGGAAAAATTTTTTTAAAGAAAAAATGTTTTTTGGTTAAAGACCAAAAAAGTTTTTGGTTTTAATTAAAAAAGTTAATTATAGGCGGACTACATTAAATATAAGATATCAAGAGTGCCCCGAAACAGATTTTAAAAACGAAGATGAAAGGCGAAACATAAGAGGACGAATTACCAGAAAAGGCGAAAATTCAGCGAAAGAAGAAAGGAACGACACAATCCCTGGTAAATACCTCCTACCATATCCTAAAATGGAGAGATCTAGTGTCGAGGGTATGTAAGATCCTTTATACTCTTATAAGATCCCTTATAAGAGTACACAAACTCTCGAGCCGATCCAGCCCAAACAAAGCGCACAGGCTCGCTATTGGACTCTCTTTATAAGGTATACGTATTTTAAGATCCCCATTCTCAAGCAGGGTTAGGGCAAGTCGAGAAAGATGTCAGAGTTAGATGCATTTTTTAGTCATTCATACCAAAATTCGTATTCGTACCTAATACGAGTAGGGGTCCAAAAATAGATTGGTATCTCAGTTCTTATCTGAATACCTATCTAAATATAGCTGTAAAAAATTTTTTCCTAGAGCTTTTATTAAAAAAATTTTTTTCTGGCCTTGAATTAAAACTACTAAAATTGATTTTTCTTGAAAATTTAATAAAAATATTTTTTAAATATTAAAAATAAAATTTTCAAAAATTTATGTCATAAAAAATGTAAATATAAAAAAAGGAAATTAAATTTAAATAAATATGAAAAATAGGATTTTTGATTGTGAGGGGTTTTTTCTTGGATTTAACCTTAAAAACAATACAAACATTTACTCAATAAATTATTTTTTCTTTAAAAGAATGCGCGGAAAATAATTATGTATATGTAACTATTAAAATTGTTTAAATTAAACAAAAAGAATGTGGAAAAAAATAAAAATATATAAAAATGTGAATGATTAATTCAAAAAAAGCTGATAGACGTAAATGTCATTTCTATCGACAAATAAATTTTTTTTATTTGACTAAAAATAAATTTTTTTTTCTCGTTAAGTAACAGGGATGGATAATTCTCAATTAAAAAAACGGAAGACGGGAGGGGAAGACGGAAGGCTAAAAAAGCGGAATTCTGCGGAAGGCGGAACGTGGAGGCGGATCCATCCCTGTTATGTAGTATATCCTTTGGACGAAAAAAGTGTAGATTAAGCTGAGTATATCAATGAGGAACGAGATTTGACTAAAAAGTTAAGGGATGTTATAAAAAAACGGCTCTATCTTAGGACATGCGTCCCATGAACTTTTATGCGTCCCATGAAAGTTTATGCGTCTCAAAAATAGTATAAACTATAGGAGTCCCGCGGGGGAATACATACCTAATTCTCGGAGGGATCTCACAGGTGACGCAGAAGGATAACCGTCTCCTGAATTGTGGGGACGGTTATCCCAAAGCATCCCTCACCATATCCCGTCACACACCGATCACCAACATAATAGACAGTAAATATTAGAGATGTGCGAGACTCTTGGTCTTGGTCTTGGAACCAAGACTTTTCTTGGTTTTTTTTCGGTCTTGGTCTTGGTCTTGGTCTTGGGGTGTTTGTCTTGGTCTTGTCTTGGTTTTATTTTTTGGTCTTGGTTTTTTGGCCTTTTTGGACCTAGTGCTTGGCCATCCAAAATCCTCAAAATTTTCGCCTGCGGCGCAGAAAATGGAAGAAATCTGGCTTCTTGAGCTCCAAAATTCAAAAAATTTTCGCCTGCGGCGCTGAAAATGTGAATTTTTTTGGCCTACGGCCTTCCAAAATTTTCAAAATTTTTGCCTGCGGCGCAGGAAA